TGTACTGTAGTATCTAAATTAATACAAAATATGAAAGGGATCTCAAAAGCTTGATTCAATGATAGATTACAGAAACAAAAATTTCCTTGGTGGAGTCATTGCATAAAACTGTAACCATTACATTGGGTTATATTCCTGAAACATTTGTCAGAGCAGTTAAGAGAGAACAAATGATGGTGAATAAAGGAAAATGTGTTCATGTTGCCCCTGAGCTCAGCCATCTTGCCGTGATGGTTCAGATCCCCTGTGGTGTTGTCAGTGTGGTACTCAAGTGGGGAATGACTTGCAAGTATGGAGAAAGAAAAAAATATGTACCCCGTATCAAGAAAAAATCTGCTCAATACTGTACACTATAATTTGTATATTTAGAGAGATATTCAGGTGGAAGTATAGCAAAAACAACCACCTATAAGAGTTATAGAAGATAGCAGTAATAATAAGAACTTAAAATAGTGGATAAAGCTGTAGTTGATTTTGCATTCTATAATTTATATGAGAAGATTACAGCTATTGTTGGTGGAAGAACCTGCCTTGTGGTGAAACAGAGAATTATTTATGGAAGGGATGCCTAGAGGAATGTTAAATAAAACATGATCTATGGACAAGGATAGTGTCCATGTGAGTGATAGAAACAGTGGTTAAAAAACTTGAGTTATGGTTTACACTAGACAGGCAGTAAATCCAAACCCTGGTGACTGATCAGCCTCCATTGATTGTGTGTGAAGAATTGTAGAACTTTTAAATACATTCACAGTATGTAAAAATAACATGACACAATTTACTGTTTTATGCTATATAACAGCATTATATATAAGGCTTGTGATTAAATGTATGATTAATATTAATATATTACTCATTAACATTAAAGATTGAGATTAATATCTATCCTATAATGTAAATATATTTTGTCAGTCATCTTCATTGGGCAAAAGAGGCAGCTGCACAGATGCCCACTGTGGCTGTGTTGTGATCCGGTCATCATACAGACCAACACACATCACGCCAACCTCACTTGACAGTGTATTAAGTCAACCTGTCACTGGCACCATACACGAAGAAATGTTGGTCATCGCTTCCTACACAACTCTACTTGTTGATAATATCTGCAGGTAGACGGGCCCCTCCCTCCCTCCCTCGTCACCATCCCCCCACCCTCTATGCTGCCCTTCCAACACCATGTGATTTATACTTGATAAATGATGATTTAATGAGTTTATTAGTTTCCAACATCCTTTTAGGCTATTGGTTATACTTTGTCATAAACAATCAGTCATTACCTTCAGTAGTAATAAGATAGGATCACAGATACGGGCAGATAATTGTGCACTTACATTTATTTGGCAAGCTTTCATACAATGATTTACAATTGGCATGGATATATGAGTCACAATCATGCCGTAATAAAATTAATCATCTAAAGAGGGAATTTTCAACTTAGGGACACATATGATTACTCTACTATGGGTATGACTTAACAGAGCCTTAATTATTCAAGTGATACATTCACCGCCAGCCTGGGTCTCTCTTGTTGCAACCAGGCTTTCACACGTGATCATCTTTCCACGGGGAATAACAAAACCTTGGGTTACCACACGTAGTCTCGTGTCACTGTAGATGGTGCCACGCACAAAACTCTGTAAGGTGACTTGATTAGCCACTTAGGATCAATAGACCAGCCTGGATTGCTCTTTTCGCAACCAGGTTTCCACACATGATCTTTCCACGGGCAATAACAACCTTGGGTTGGCACACTTAGTCTCATGTCACTGACAGTCCACAGGACGGGGTTGTGGTAAAGGACTCTGTGTAGCGTCCCAATGCCTTCAGGAAGGGGAGGGTAAAGATGTCTAGGACATACTATCTTAAATATGGGTTTTGGGGCATGAGACACGATGAACAGTACAACAATGTCTCAATCACCACCCTGTATAGACTGGCTAACATATCACTAATGGAATAGGGTGTGTCATATGGAGGCGAATTTTTTTTTTTTGAGTTTGAAAAATCGGCCCATGGTATTAATGATGACGGGGTGACAGTACTCCAGACGGGGAAGCACTTCACTCTTGAAGATCGTTACGAGGGACGGACCGTGTAGATATCTGAACGACCTTCTTATAAGACCCAATAATTTATTTGCCTGATTTACCTTCTTCTCGCAATGGCGCGAGAACTTCAGCTCATTGTCAACATACACACCTCGGTCCTTCTCACATTCAGTCTCAAATAGAGCAGTTTTTTCATCCCGTTGGGACATGATACGCGTCCTTACCGTTGGTGCGCCCCAAGTGCATCCTATTACGCTTCGTGACACTGAATCTCAGCAGCCACTTACTTCTTTGACCTTGGAGCCTACAGAGATCCTTCTGGAGCTCTTCACAGTCCGCTTGGTTCTTGGTTCCCGAAATAACTTGGCGTCATCGGCAAATATTTGTATGGAGGAGTGTACAACATCAGGCATGTCAATTATGAAACAAACAAACAACAGCGGGCTCAATACACTGCCTTGTGGTACCCTACTTGTGACAGGTACAGATGATGATTTCGTGCCATTAATCACCACACATTGCTTGCAGTCATGTAGAAAGTCTTCTATCTACACTCGGACATTTCCCCAAGGGATTCCCCTGGGTCGTACCAAAGGTAAGTAGGAGTATCAAATGTACCATCGGGACGAAGAAACGTTATTAACTGAAATTCAAATGTGAAAAGGACCTGGGTGTGTATGTTGACAGCAAACTGAAGTTCTCGGACCATTGTGAAAAGGTAGTTAACTCAAGCAATAAGTCGTGTAAGGGTGTCCATACGTTCTTCAAAACTGAATTACTTCCCCGTTTGGAGTACTGCTATACCTTCTGGTCCCTGAGATATGCTAGAGACTGCCAGTTGATTGAAAATGTCCAGACTGGCCCTCGAACTACGGCACCTCAGTTACCCAAAGTGATTAGAACGCCTGCACCACCACCACCACCACTACCACCCACTACTACCACCACCACCACCACTACTACTACTACTACTACTACCACTACCACCACCACCACCCACTACTACCACCCACCTAACCTAACCTAACCTACTACCACCGATTCTTCTTGGTGGACGGATACAACCAAAACCATGACACTCATAATGTTACCACGGTTATCACTTCAATATTTATTTATTTTATTTATTTATTTATTGTTTTTTTTAGTTAATTTTAAGAAAAAAATCAGAAAAAAGTTACATTTGTCTAGATTTTTTTACGGGGGAGGGGGGACTGAACTGAACATAATATACAAAGGTGATCTATTAAGGAACCGATACCCTATCACACAAAATGTTTCCCTTGATATGTAAAGACCTTTAAACTCACTAAAATAACGAGAAAATAAAATACACTGAATCGCAATGTATTTTTTTTTGTTAATAAATGAAAAATAGTTGAGGAATTTATTTCTAGAGAATTATATGGGAATGATTTTTAAGTATTATACAGGGTGTTAGTTTAGTCTTTATGAGTTGAGTGCTATTTCGATTTTTCCAAGTCTTACTCATATTATCTTAACGTAATTAATTTCATCAAGGGGGCGAATTAACTACGAACTTAGATTGGTAATAATATGCTGGAATCCAGGAATGTGATGTGCAAATTTGCTAGCACAGTCACTAGCTTGTAAGCCTATTTTACTTACTTTCATTACAATGATTCATGCTAGGCATGAATACATACTTCACAAATTCTCTTCTCTTTAACAGTTTCTAAAACAATATCATTCTTTACTTGATATATAATCACAGATAAGCATGCACACAGGTTAGCCGTTTTTATTACCTACGGTGATCACAGGCAGTTACTAAAAAGAGTATGAATGAAGTAAAATCTTAAAAGAACACAAAATTTAATATCAAATACAGAATGTACTGTACAAATTGAAAAAAAAACCTTATCTTTTTCAAACTCTGTTTCATAGTAAGCACAGTACAAATACACAGAAATCCTTCTGTGATATATCAAATTCAATTAACTTCATTGGGACTCGAAACTGATACACAGAGAACAGGTATCCCAGGTGTTACCACTGACACTACAACACTTAAAATCTTGTTTGTTAGGTCTTAAAGGTGGCAGTGCAGTGAGCGGCTGGGATAACCTATTCCCTGTGTACCAGTTTTGAGGACATAACATTAATACTATTCAAGTTGCTATGTTATACTTATTCTAACATTAGGCTCAAAAGTCTAGATTTCTTTCAGGCAAAATTATCAAGAATCAAAGGATCATCATTTAGACTGAGCATATTTCTGTTTATAGCCATTAGGGCCAAACCTGACAATTCTCTTCCTTCATGGTAATACGCAGCCAGGGTTTTAGTCTCCGTAGATTTGAGACTGATCTTTCAGGGCTTGCAGTTAACTGGTTGGACAGCAATAACCTGCAAAAATCTGTTAATGACAGGAAAGCTGTTGTCACATTTTACTAGGGCTGATATATCATCTGTGTGCCTAGTATTGTGAGGTGCTAAGTCTCCACATTTCAACATCGGCGCACTGGTACTTCGGAACTAAATGGGTTAATTTGGCCAGTGTTTCGGATATTTTGATTTACAAATTAAGTATTTTTTAGATAATTTAATTAAAAAAATAAAGCTCGGGGGGCGATTGAAACTCTGCCCCCGCTCTTGGGTAAGCCCCTGGTTGTGTGGGTAAGCCTAGCGCAACCCATGACACCCTCCATGGTAAAATTTTACTTTCACACAACCATGAAATCTAAAGCATTTTAATCATTGCAATCAATAGTTTAGACAATTCTAAGATACTTTTCTTCTATGACGTTTCCCTCGCAAATTACCTAAAATGAGCTAACTTAACCTACCCTCATCTCACAACAAGGCCTCGGGGTGGTCATATCTCCATAACGTCTCATTATCGACAGAAATAAAGGTCAGATTAGCTTAAAACAATACCAAATACTCCAAGAAATCCTAATTTTTATTATTAGTGTCCATGGTGTACCTAAAATGAATCTTTACCAATGGAATTTGTACTGAAGTGGAGTTGAGGGTGAGGGAGTGAACGCGGCCACACTATTGTTGACACTGAGGAGGCCGTCTGTCACTACGGGGCAAGAAAACTCTACTCTTTAGTGTTTTTTAAGGTTAGTTTTATACAGATTGAGTTGTATATTGCAAGATTGTTATATAAGTTCATGTAAGTTAGGTATGTACATCATCATTGGGTAATAGAGGTATACTTACGGGATTATAAGGAAATTAAAGTTAGCCCGTAAACTGATGTGGCGAAAATTATAAGAAGAAAGTAGTTTAGTGATACTGTATTTCTTTTAGGGTCCTTGTCGTTACTTATAGAGCGTAAATATCTTGATAGGTTGTGCCACTGGTCAGTGTGTGTGAGTTGGTTCAAGACCAGAGTTGACCAACACAGATACATTCTGGAACCTGTACACTCCGCCAAGGAAGTACTAATGTCACTATTTTGGGTTAGGGTCACCTCGTACCTAAGATAACTCGTACCCAAATGAAGAGATAAGTCTTACCCAAGATTGCTTACACTCAATTCAAGAGATAATCCATACCTATTAATATATATACCATGCATTTTAGCTTTATCTATGATTACAAAAAAAAATTATGCAAATCATGTAGGAAAGTGGATATGAGTTCAACTTTAGTTTTTATTTCAGACCAGAAAAGGTTAAGAAGTACATAACAAATTAGAAGGGTCAATGTATGGTCTTGACTAAGGCAGCCCCACAAGTCTTTAAGTGATGGTTCTTGAGCCAGCTACCAGCAGTAAAGCTGGCACCATTCGTTCACTTTTGATCTGAGCTTGGAGAGAACGATGGTCAGATCTGCAATGGGGAATTCATATCAAAACTGTAAGCAACATCACATATATTTATTATTTGTTGTGTGTTATTACTGTAACTGAATTTATGAATTTCCTTTTGAAATGCAGATATTGTATGCAGTTAAGAATTAATGTGATAAATAATTTGTTCAAACTATATTTAGAACTGGTGTAAAATTCAGGATGACTCAAGACTGATTACTCATAAGGGTGACTGTTTCAGGTGTTACCAAGAGCTGTGAGTGGCGACATTTACCACCTGGCAGATTACATCCTTCAGCAGGCTCTTATGGGTCCACTGCCCAACAACCTCATGCTCTCTTACCTCAAACACTCACTCAGTTCTCAGGTTGGTTGACAGCTGTACTGTTTTGTGATTGGGGAAGTGTCCATCTTTCCGACATTTATGATTTTTTTTTTATATAGAATTGATAATTACGGTGTCTCGGTACAGTAGCAATAATGTTAAAGTGCATAATGTTACTCAAAAGTAATAAGGGATACGCTCTTTATCTTTTTGTTGCTTGTTACTCAATTATAATTACTTCACCATGGTGTGAGAGTATAGACAGAGGTGCATGAATATATCTTGGGTATTTACAATAGACCAGTTTCCAAAGATCTTGGCACTTCTTATCTCATCTGATTGAACTACTGCAAGGCCTCATCTTCAGAGGTCCAGTGTTACTCATCAGAGTTTTTCCTTTCAAAAACTATTTGTCAGATGGACTTAAAAGTCACCCATGTGTTCCTTGCAGTAGGCACCTTCCATTTGTCTATTGTAACTATTAATTTTTGTAAATATATTTCTTATACTAATTTGTGACCTCTTCTCAGGAGTTGTCAACTAATATCTCTGTAGGAAGTATTACATGGTTGTAGCTGTTTACTGTCTTGAAAATCTTTATAATACTTTCATTATTATTATTACAACTGTATTATTAGTCTTCCAAACCCTTTCCTCTTATGGTGCTGTGTAACAGGAATCAGTATTATACAAAAACTAATTCACTCAATACCATTCATCCAATCAGTAACTGCTCTCCTGGAGTTGTTTTGCTGTATTGGTCTTCTGTCACAGTAGTGCCTAAGATATCAATATGATTTATTCCTCACACCATGTAGCATCATCCATCAGTAGCTCGTCCGTCCCTCAAAAACCACACATTGCCACCATGATTTTGAGTCATTCACACACACACACACTGCTGCTTCCCTTACCTCCACCCTTCTTTATCTTTCTTTGCCTTTCCCTCTCTGTCTCATACTGTCTCTTTTGACTTATATACTTTCTTTATTCCCTAAATTCTCTTCCCTCCACACATTGTTCCCAAGGTTATTTCTTCTTCTTGCGTCTAGGAACTGAGTGTAACGTTTATACAATGGTGTCAGCATGGCTATTTCCCAGTTAATATTTGTCCATCTATGCCTCCTTTGACACAGTTCTCCCTCCATACATTTCTTGGTATTTCTCTCGTTCATGTACTCAGTGTGACAGTCATCGTTGCTGATATATCCACACACTGCACTTTTTCCGTTTTGTCATCATTAAAACATAACATTGACTGCTCCATCTCCCTTCTTTATTATTATTTATCATATCACTTTAGTACAAGTTTATCATTAACTTTCTCTCATTAGAAACTCATTTACCGTTTGCAACTTTATTCTTCACATAACAGTTTGGTAAGTTAATTACAGTGGGGTATGCTATAGATTCTATAATATTCCTATGAACGTTTACTGAATGCATACGAAACTCCTACAACATTATTTAATTTTTTTTTTCAATTTATTGTTTTTATTACAAATATTAGTATTCTTTATTTCAGGGTTTAGATGCATCTTTATACTTTTTACAATTTTACAATTTTATATTATATTTTCAGTGTATGTTGTATTTGCCTGGGCTTAATCCATACTTAACAACAGGTTCTAGACATGATAACATAATATTATGAATCCCTGGGAGCTATTTGTTGTCTTGTCTACGTGGTTCTTAATATTTGATTTTTTTTAAGCCCCGTAATGAACGTGTGTGTTATTTTTAGATTGTGTCATATGGTGGTGTGATAGAGAGCATCAGCAAGTATGATGGTCTTCATAAGCCACACTGTGTACACGCTCTGCTCACCCTGATGCAGTCCATGATGGTAAGAGACTTTATACAGTACAGTTGTCTTGAAATATGGTGAGTGTTGAGATAGTGCAGACAACACAGTACTTATGTTGGAGTATATGATTGATCAACACATTTAGGATTATTACTGTTTTAGAGAGGGAATACAGTATAGTACAGAGAAAATAAAAATATTTGGAGGTGACAACAGTTTTATATATTAGATTTTTTTTTTATTTGTGTAAAACAGAGCATATGGCAATTTCTGTCATAAACATTTTGATTTCCAAACCATAATTTTAGTTTGTATGTTCCAGTGAAGATAATATTGCTCAGATGCCTCATCTCTAGGGAGAGGAATACATGTATCCCTATTGTTTTGGGGGTCAGTGGGTAAAAGGTCATGGTTGTTTATGATGAAACTAAAACTTGAGCTTCCTTGCACAGATGAACATGATGTTGTGTATATACAGTAGTATGCACTTGAGAGGAGAAAGGTTTCTTGCTTATCTGAAGTTGTTGTGGGCATATTATGTTAGGCAGTTTGTGGTATTAGTGGTAAATCTTGTATAAAATATAATTATCCTTCTTTTCCTCTGCTAGAAGAGATGACAAAAGATTCTGTCGATATATGTGTGTGTTTCCATCTGGGGATTTTGTCAGTGCAACAATTCAAGTAGAAATGCCTGTACTGTATAGGAAACTTTGTATGTGGATGAAACCCAGTTGTAGAATCTTGGATAAATACAGTATAATATCTATTATTATTTCTCCATATTTTGGAGAGTTAAGTTTTCTTTTTTATAGTGAGGGGAACCTGGGCCCTGAACTGTCAATTTATTCTTTTGAATTTGATTAGTTACAGTAACTCTAAATGTTTTATTTTATTGTACAATATTGTGGTTATACTCGTATAATAACATTTTCCCTCCATATTATTTGGTTCAATTTTAAGAATTTTGCAATCATGAATGTAGCTTTCATTCTTTAAAAACCCTTTTGTGTCATAGAGTTTATTAGTCAATATTAATTTCTGCCGCATTTACAGAAAAGTGTATCATGCAGAGGGAAGCCTGAAGACTGTTTGATGTTGGCTACGTCTATTGTTGCTGGGGTTAAATGGCTGGTGCAGGTTTGTAATAAAGAATCTTGAAAACTGTTGCTTCACTACTTGTATCCTTTACTGAGCTGAATATTATAAAGTTTCATGAGATTATTTCATCATATTATAATAAATATATATTATAAAACATTGATGATGACTTTATCTGGTGTTTATGTAGAAACTTGACTCAAAACTTTACATTGACATAAACTTGTGAGTATAAAACAGGTGACTGGCTGGACTACACAACAGCTGCTGGACTTACGCAATGCACCAGAACTCTCCACTAACCTCAACCTGGCAGCCTCCATCCTGACGGACATCTTCAAATGCCCATTCCTCATTTGTATGCTGGAAATTGGCCGTCGAGAAGAGCCGGGTGAGGATGTCTTCCCTCTTGACTTTATCTTGTTGTGATCTTTCCTATTGGTTCAGGTCACCTTCTCTTCTATTCGTGTTAACTTAACCCTTTAAGGACGATTGTACTCGGGTTTAAGATACCACACTCAAGGGGTTAAGATATCGTACTCAAGAGGTTAAGACATTGTATTCATGAATTTAAGATATTGTACTCATGAGGTTAAGATATCGTACTCAAGAGGTTAAGACATTGTATTCATGAATTTAAGATATTGTACTCATGAGGTTAAAATATCGTACTCAAGAGGTTAAGATATCATACTCAAGAGGTTAAGATTATGTACAGTGAGTTCTGCTATAACGCGTGTTTTGATAACGCGAATTTGCTCTAACGCGATTTATGAATTAGGAACAATATTTGTATAACGCGAACGCTTGTTTGCTATAATGCGATTTTTGCTTACTATTTCTCCAATTTTGTGGTACAGTGGGGTATGCTATAGCGAATCTAATTGGTTCTAGAACCTTGTTCGTTATAGCATTCGTTCGTTATAGGATTAATCCGTTCCAGGCCCCCAAATACAACCACTTAACACTGAAAAATATAATATAAAATTGTAAAAATTGTAAAAAAGTGCATAAATATGCATCTAAACCCCTGAAATAAAGAATATCATTAATATTTGTAATAAAAAAACAATAAATTAGAAAAAATAAAAAAAAATAAAATAAATAATGTTCGTTGTAGGAGTTTCGTTCGTTATAGCATTCTCAATTTTATAGGTAAAACCGTTCGTTATAGGAATATTCGTAGTAGGATCCGTTCGTTATAGCATACCCCACTGTATTAACTGTGAATATAGTAAAGAAGAATATCAACAAGAAGCGTTCTGGTGATAGAATTCCCGGTGATGATCGTAAAAGAAAGGATAAAACACTTGAAGAGAAGCTCGATTTTATCAACCTCAAAATCACCCTTCTCCCCCATCAAGTAAAGTTTTACATTTACTGTATGATTTCATTATTAGATATGAATGTAACATTTATTTAGACTGTGCTATCCTTTGTGTTAGGCAAACTACTAAATTTTTTCGATTTCGAGTAATCTGCACCTAACCCTATTTTCTCCATAAGCCCTGTTATTTCTATTACGCGATTTTCTAAACACGATATTTTACAAGAACACAATTATCGCGTTATAGCAGAACTACCTGTACTCAGGATAACCATATCTTCTAGTTTTCAGTCCTTGTGTTCTCTTTAATGTCACAAAACAGTAATCCTTCACTCAGGTTTTCTCAGTGGCTCCATCATTAAGCTGGCAGGTTGTGTCGTGTTGTATACAATGACACTAAACTTTAGGTGAATTTAAATAAACACGTGATCAGAGAAGAGAGTGAGAGTGGTTAAAAGGGACGTGGTCTTGAGCTTGGTTCATGAAATGTTTGTTACCAAGTGAGAAAAAAACATTAGGCATCAGCATTTCTTGATGTTTATGATATATCCAATACAGTACAGGTTGTAGTTGAATTAATTTCTCCCTAATACCGAGATAAAGAGTTTAATTTACCTATGCTTTTGGATGTTACTGTGATTGACTCCGTGTATCAAGGTGAAAAACAATCCAGAGTTGGGAAAGAAAAAACTGTATATTCCCTCATTAAAACACAGCACTGTCAGCCTTAGTCAGTATGTCAGTTATGCATTATCTTCACATATTTAACAGATGTAGCCAAGAGGACATTTATGGAATTGTATGTGAACATCTTTACTGGTTATGGGACAGAGTGTTGTATTGTAGGTAGTAGGGGACTAAGGGGAAGTGGATATTTGTGTCAGTGTATTACCAGGACAGCTTGTTTTAATAAGCCCCACGACTCTTTCCTCTGTAACATTAGATTTGGTCTTTTTTTTTTTTTTAGGTACTTGGAGTAATTGTGTGAAAAAGATGGTAGAAGTTGAGACTCTCTTGGCTGGTGCTGGTGCCATAGTGGAGAACAAAGACCTCCTTATTATAACAACATGGTGAGTCAACCTTCCCTCTGGTATAAGTGTTTTCCTACCATACAATAATGTGGTTGTATCTTGTATGTATTAACACTTTTCCCCACTCCTACCAGTCCTTCTCTACTCTGATGTACTGTACTTAAAATGTATCAATATTTTATTATTGCAGTCAGTTGCGGGATTATCAGCCCCTGGATAGTATTGGCATCAAGCACATCTTTGACAGCAGGAGTGTTCCTCTATGTTACGCTATGCATAGTCTTGTGATGCTGGAAGTCATGACTCACACCACACGTGATGCTTCTACATTTGCCCACCAACTGCTGCTCCTTCAGCAACTCCAGGTATTATTATTTTGTTATAGTATTTCATAGCTACCTTGATGATACATGCTCCAATGTGTGTTAATAATACTGTACCTTATGCTGTGTACTTTATTGTTGTAGACCACCAGGGGGAGGAAATGATCCCCTTCCCTAGTGTTCTCTAGTTATGGTAGTCCACCACTGGTAACAACAGATAAGGATGTCATGTTTATAACTCATCCATTTATCTGTGTGTTTGGCCATCTCCTTTTAAATACAGACAAACTTCGCTAATCCAGAACTCGATTATTTGGATAATGTCACTTAATCCGGACACCAAATGTCAATCCTGACTGAATTCCTTCTTTTCAGATGAACATGAATACAAACCAAATCTAACCTAACCTAAAACTGTATACAACTTTATCTTGAGCTTGTGAGACCCCACTTGGATCATGCAAATCAGTTCTGGTTACCGTACTACAGAATAGTTATCGAATCCCTAAAAGCATGCAGAGGAGGATGACATGATTAATCCTGGGTATTAGGAACCTTGAGTACAGAGACAGGTTAAAGCATCTTAATTCACACTCCCTCGAGAGACGTAGAGTGAGGGGCTATATGATAGAGGTGTATAAATGGAAGTCAGGGCTAAACAAAGGTGATATAACAAAGGTACTCAAACTATCCAACCAGGAGCAAACTCTTAACAATGGTTTTAAATTAGACAAATTTAGACTTAAGCGTGAGATAGGTAAACATTGGTTTGGAAATAGAGTATTGGATGAATGGAACAAGTTACCAAACATCATCATTAACTCTAATACGCTGGACAGCTTCAAACACAGGTTGGGTGGATATATGAGTGATAGGGGTTGGGTGTAAACGGAACTGCCCAGTCTGTGCCAATAGGCCCGCTGCAGTTTCCTTCATTCTGTATGTTATATCGGTAACTCGTCAACAAAGGCAGTGATGTATTTAACCACAGGAAACAGTTTTGCTTCTCAAAATTATGAGATTTTATTTCAAGAATGTGTCTTATCTGTTTGCTTGTCTGTCTCAACTCTCAAGACAAATTTTGCTTAGATGATGATGTTCTCCTCTGAATTTTGATTAAATTTACTGGGCTGTTCTTGTAGGTAAGATATTGGATGGGATTGTGCATAAATAACTTGTAAAGATATACAGTATTACGTCATATTAAGGCGGGAAAACATAGTGTTAGCACAGTATATAAGATGACTGGCAGCCATCCAGTAGGAGACATATTGCTTGACTTTTGTACTGTATCTTGTTGTTTAAAACTCTTAGGTTCCAGCCCATTATGAGGAATATTTTGCCTTTGTTTCAGGGACTGAGTACCATGGAGCTGTATCTAGAACTACTGAGAAATAGTTTCATAGGTCTAAGTTGTCCAGAACACCGTGCATATCAAGAGCTTAAATGGGTGGGCTTCACGTTCATAAAGGTCCCATCTATACTCTACACCATTCATGTCATTTTCAGTGGTAGGTAACTATTAGCAGTACTTCTGGATTATTTATTACTATTATTGTGTGACTCATTTATTTTTTTTTTAAAGCTACGTTAGTATGATGATTGACCAGCATGAGATTCTTGGTAAGTTTTTATACACCTGTACTGCAGTGTATCCATAATAATACAGTACAGTACAGTGTTAACATGTGTTTGACCTGTTAATATATCACTCACTCGCCTGGCATCATCCTCATTGTTATTGGGTTAGATTTTTGCCATTAAATCAGTGACTTTATATATAAATGCTTGTGGTGCTTCTGTTGTATTGTAATTAATATTCAGTCGTGAGGTTTAAAATTCTTGATTTGCTTTGATTGTAGACTCTGTATCCCCTACAATGGTTAAGGCTTTGAAAATAGGGTAAAACTCCTTAATTCAAATAAAATTCCCCTGTGAACCCACCTGTCTCCTGTGTACCAATCAGTGGAAATACTGGTACTGATAAACCACAGGTAAGCAATTGGGCTGTTGCTGGTTATCTTGTGAATGACTGACTCACTGTTATGAGCCATGGGATTCTTCTCGGGTCACTGCCTGAGGTCACTGCTTGGGAACAATTATTTTAAGATGTTTGTAATCTATGCGGCATCACAGTGTCTTATATGAGTGGTTTGGGCCTTGTATCAGGGCCTGACAACCTCTGTGAGATTAAATGGGGAGGAAAATGAGGAACTTGAGATGATATTAGGGTCAGTCAAGAGTCTGTCTTGAGCCCCCTGCTGCTTACCACTATGTTAGAGGAACTGTCACAAGATTCTAGGACTGGTCTGCCCGGGGAGTTGACGTATGCTGATGACTTTGCTGATAACGAATATTATTGAAGAGTTAGTGGAGAAATTTGAAATGGAAGGAGGGAATGGAGTCAAAGTAAATATAATAAGTACTGACATGTCTTAAAACCTCTCTCCAGCCACATATCCTCTCCTTCCTAATCTTCCCAACTGTATGTCCTCCCCTTTCTCCCCACACTCTTGTTAGTTTGTCTCTCCCCTCCTTTTATGGTTAGAGAGATCTTGCTGTTGCTCATCTGGGGTGCATTCTCTCTCTCTCTCTCTCCTTCACTGACCTCCCTCAATATATGCCTTTGTCTCTCCAACAATTACTCCATCACTGAGTCACTGATTTATTGTTTTATATTTTGTTTATGATGATATTTTGGATTATTATTTTTTGTTATTTCTCTGGTGTGATGTGAGAAACAAGAAAGTGGCTGGTTGAAGAAGATAGTTAAAAGGTATAAAATCTCCCGTTGTTATGTTGTGGTAAGTGAAGCAGTGATCCCCTGCTGGCTCTGAAGAAGAAGAATCAGTTTGAGAATATTGAAAGGTTTCAGTGAGGTAGTTAGTGTATAAAAGGAAGAATTAGGAAAATAATGCTGATGTAGAAACTAATACTGGTGGTGTGAAACTCTTCTCCTTATACCTGTTTTATTATACTCTCAGGGGAATCTACGAGTGGAGAATCTGAGGATTTGCTAACAGCTGTGCAGCGTCTGTCCCAGTTAACAATACTCTTGGACCAAGTGGACTCCCGTATCAACTGTAACTGCTTAGAGTATTTACTGAATGAACTTGTCAACAAGACCAGCCTTATTTCAGAAACAGATGCTCAAGCCATCATTGCAGTAAGGTTAGTAACCAAAGCTAATGTACAGTATATTAATTTATAATTCATTTTTTGTCTTCACTATTACAAGTACTGTATGTGGGAACTGTGGTCAGTTGTACCTAACCTGCGAATTATCACAACTCCGCCGTATACAGTATCTCGCCTCACTAGCCACTCACTATTTATGGATCTCTGGGACATAGTGCTGTTGTTCTGTCTGTAGTCTTTGTCTATCTCCATCAAGAGGTAAATGGAGAAAACTGACTAATATAGTAATGAGTATTTGATAATAAATTAATATTAGTTTTCAGCCAGTGTTAAATTTAAAAATATAAATGAGATAATGAAATTTAATGACTTTGTGGGTATGAACTGCTTGAGACGTGAGGCAAAAATGGATAAATAGTCCTTAATTATTTAGCCATGTTAGTGCTGCTATGAGACATAAAGGCCTTCATTTATACTTTTTTTCAAGTTGCTGGACTCAAGAGCAAGTGCACATAATTTATTTTTGTATTAATATTTACAACTGTATTGTGGGAATGCAGCAGCTAAGTGAATACAGCACTGGGGTCCTGTCCTTTGAGTCTCTGGTTTAATTGTGGTGCACTCCCAGTCCACCCAGCTATTAATTGGTGCCTAACTTATCAAGATAGTGCACTGCAAGCTATGGTGCCACCTTGTGTACTGAAGGCTTAGTATACTGTGTCTTATATCTTTTGTTTCTAATGGATGGCCAGTCATATCTATGGGCCACACACTCACAGCTTTAATAGATTGGCTCTGTTATTTTATTCCCTTTTCACCTCAAAACCAAAAGTCTGGTTTATCTTTGAAAACTTTTTGTGTTGCATTTCTTACAGAGTTCAGGAATCCAATGTGCTTGCTAATATCCAGAATAATGATGCTCAGATGTCACATCCAGGAAGCCCAAACCTCATCCTTCGTGCTCAGCCCACTGTCACTAGTATCTTGAAGACCCTCAGTAATAAGAACCAGGTAATACTTGATCTTTATAAACCTATATACTGTATGCATACTGTAGTTGGCTGGATGTTACTATATATTGTACGGTTAAAGTGGATCCAGGGCAGCAATACTACCTACTTGGGGAACAATGTTGAAGGTTTATACTTTACATCATGTTACTGTACAATTGTCTGATAGTAGTTTGTCAAGGCTCATCTTATATCTTGTATTACCAAAGATCCTTAATTGCACACATGACTCGGTGGACTGTTTTTATTACCCAGCTCTATATTAGTGACCGTACACCAGGATGACCAATGTAGGGTCTTCAGTTATTCCAAGTCTCCTCTTAACCATTTTGTTCTTATCCTTTTTACATCACCATAACTGAAGCTGCTACTCCTAATATTACTGTGTTATATTCTCGCCTTGGAAGCATAACAGAAATTCATAATATATCGTTAAAGAGTTTATTACTTATTATCCTGATTCATTTAGTCACTTTAATATTTAGGGCAATAATAGACATTTGTATATACTCTATTGTGTTATTAAATTGCAGTGTAAAAGGAGGTAGATTCTTATTAATTAATGATTGTTATTATAATACAGGACATACAAAACTTTGATGTATATACTGTATGTGGATTTAGTCTTGACAGTATTAAATTTAAGAAAAACTTGAAAGGCTTCTTGTGTATATTTCAGGAATCTGTCTTACCTGTCATGAATCTTCTGATCAGCGGTAAGAGCCGGGACCTGCTGCTGGCAGCTGCGGCAGCCTCAGGCAGCCTTCATATATTTGCACAGAAATTTGTTAAGTTTAATGAGCTTAGTATGGTGAGTTATTATTGGGTTTACTCTATATCTGTTTGGTAAGCATAAAGAGTTATATCAGTAAGTTTTAAGGTCATTGGGAGCTCATTTCCATAAGTTGCTGTACAGTATGCTATCTGTACCTTACTAAATATATGAGATAGTTTCCACCAAAGTACCGTAGGCATAATTACTGTACGAAAGAATCCCAGAAGTGATCATTCTATTTCAAAATATAGATCAAGTTCTGTTTATGGTGTACCAGTATCTTTGACAGGAAAGAGTTCAAAAAGAAGGGAATTAAAATGACAGAGGATGTTTTACATATATTATTCTTCAGTCATTTGGATTTTGAAGGACAGTGCTGTACATTGTGTGTAGATATATGTGTTCCTCACCCCCCACAGGATCCCCAGCCTGGAGAGACGACAAAAATGGCCATCAATCGAGCGTTGATGTTTGATATTTCCTTTCTTTTGCTCTGCCACATTGTGCAGCAGTATGGTATTGATGTAAGTTACATATATTTTGTGCATGTGTGCGTGTGTGAGATAGATAGATAGATTGGATGAAATATGCGAAGAAATAAGGATACTACAATCATAACTCAGTCATAAACACTGTGGACTCCTCAGAGGCGTGGGTTCAGGCCAGTGTCGAGGCTGGGGGGGTGGTGTGGTATATACTGAGGTGGCCTTAGTCAAGTAGCATTAGAAGTTAAGAAGTGTGAGGGAAATGCTGTATTGTGAGGTAGATGATGTTTGATATTTAAAAGATGAGAGTACAGGACCATGAATTATGTATTGGTAAGTACTTGTAGGGTGTGTTAGAGGTGTATGGGAACAGTTATAAAGCAATTTCAAAATGATGTGGTAGAACAGTGTGTAATGGAATAGGTTAGGGAGAGGAGTTCCTATGAATGAAAATTAACTCTTATGTATGGGGAAGAAATACATTGGTGGAAAAGGAGTTTGGTGGGAGAGGAATGCCTTGAGTGTGTGTGTTAAAGTATAATGATTAGAAATATGTTGTTGAGAGGTTATGGTGTAGGCTGGAGGCTCTGCTTGTGTTGTTTAGAATATTACTTTCCTTACAAGATTAACTTAATAAATAATGTACATTGTTTCTGATTAAATAATAAATAGTTATGCAGTGAACAATGAACTTTGTAAATATACCGTACACTTATTAAAAACGCCATTACACTCTAGGTTGTGGTGTCAGAAAAATGCGAGACCTTTGTGGAACAGTGGATGAAAGAAAACATGCCTGAGTTGGGTCGCGTCAAGGCTCCACTGATGTCTGTCCGTACTGATCAGAATGCTGTGGAAGAGTTCATCAGAGAAGTTAATGTTTCTGAGCTGGATAAAAAATACAAGTAAGTTTTTTAACTGCTTATTGGGACTGTAATACCTATCTGCCTAGTGAATACAGTATCTTTTACACTCTTGTATTTACTGAAATATATTCACAAATTACCTTTCAATTGTTTTCAAGAAATGTTTCAGTGTGTGCATTTTAATTGTACAAAATTAAGTACAAATGTGGAGGTAAATGATAACTCATTAGTCTTGGGTTATTAATGTGGGATATTGTTTGAATAATTTAAGCAAGGATAAGTCACTTGTATGTACAGTATACATATTGTATATACAATAAATGAATAATTCTGGTGGTTTTATTGTAATAGGTGGGTGATTCTTATATTAATTATATCTATAGTTTGGGTTCATTGTAATCATTTCTCCATAGTATGGTGAGGTGGAGTGATGTTTGCCAAGTAGCAGCAGTAGCGCTCAGAGAAGTAGTGAGCGCTTCACAACAGGGAGCACTTCCAGTTCAGCATGTTAAGGAACTTCTGGACCGACTGAGTTATCATCTGTGTTGCCTCCCTATTTGTGTGGGTACATGGCTCTGTTCCCATGTTCAGGTGAGTTAACCAGACCAGGAATAATTTATCTTCTTATTGTTATTTTTACAGTTTGTTCACAGCAAATTTCTCATTCCTCCAGTTTTTCCTCGTGACAAACTATGGCTGTACTGCATTGATTATATGTACTGTATATATTTTGTTTAAGTCTAAACCATTATTAATTGTTGTGAGATACAAAATTTTATTTTCAATTATTCTTGACCAGGTTTGAGTGTGTTAGACAAACTTCTAGAATGGGAATGGATGTCATTCATATAGCAAATATTAAAGCTTTTTTTTTATAGACAGATGATGGCAATATAGTGGTAACTTGTCCCTGCCTTTATTCCTTGCTTATTTCTTCTGTATTTTTTATATAATTTCCTGGGGTTTGTATGATAAAACTCTTGAGTGGTATCATCTGTGGTATATGACAGTATTGTCTTTTTTTGAAACCAGAAATATTAGGTAACTTATCTTGTAATATCTTCATCATCCTATTAGCCATACAACTGTTAGGATGTTAGCAACTACATTTTTTTAATATAATAAACAAGAAATTTCTTTAAATAGATTATAAAAGAGCACCAATTCCCTTTAGGTTGTGGATGCAGACCAGGCAGCTGAGCCCCTGAATTTCCTACATTACCTGCAGACTTCTCTCGGTGATCATGACCCATCTGTAGCCACCCTTGATAACTTTAAAGACAGGTAATGCAGAGTCAATGAGTAACAGTACCGTGCTTATATCTGAAGGTTGACGACCACTGTCCTCCGCTGTAAACGTTTTTAGGGCTGTTTTTACCAATCCTCCAAGATTTTGTATCTCCCTGGGGACCCAGTTTTAAATTTAATTCATTCGTTAATATTTCTAATATTATTTCCTCATCCTCAATTGTATGACCAAACAATTATGGGGTATATGTCAAGGATAAAACCTTTAAGAGTAGTTTTAAAAAATGTCACGTTTTTCTTGATGGTGGATTATAATTCAGTTTATCAGTCATAAGTTTATGGTGAAATTTGGTTTCATTTAACACATGATTATAGAGCATTAATTGTGTGCTGATATTAACCCATAAATATTATTGTTTGGTCAGGTCAACACTGATGGTTGAAATAGCTGAGAACATGGTGCAGGTGATGAAGGGAGGAGTCCAAGCTGCCTCAAACACTAGCAGCAGTAGCAACAGGTAAATTGGTGTTGTAGTATTAAATATATTCTACCCTGGCAGCACTTAAGTCTTTTCATATGATTAACACTTGTTTAAAATGTTAAGTTTTATTACACACTGGACAAAGACACCAGGAACAATTTTATAGTGAACTTTGGTTGATTGTTCCCTGTTAATTCCTTATCTTGAAAAATTTGATAGCATCTTTATATGACTCCTTTCAAATTACGTATCCTACAAGCTATCCTGCATATACTGTACAGTCTCTCCTCGACTTACGACAACCGGGACACGACGGCCATGGTCTGTATAAAATATTTTTCACATTACGTATTTTCGAGTCCCGACGTTAGTGATCGCGCTGTGTACTGACAAAATTTTTGTTTGTAATTCCCTTTAAAATGGCTGGCAAGCGTAAAAGTGAGAGTTCTTGTGGTGCTGAGAAGAAAAAGTCACCCATTTTAGAATTTCTATGTAGTGTATTATTTTTGCCTTTTCGACTTACGACCTGGTCGTCGGGACAGAACCCCGTCGTAAGTCGAGGAGATACTGTAATTACTGTTTATAAAATTATTAATACACCATATGACAGTTTTGTAGCAAAGTATTTGTTTTCTTATGGAGGGAAGAGTAAGGGTTCACTACATGTCCACAGTAACAACAGAAATGGGAGCAACAATCCAGGAGACTCGAGTATTCTGTCTTATTTGTTCTCCCAAGAGCCACTGTCTCACCTGCTGAGGGAGACCTGGAACCAAGTATTCCCCGGTGGCATCATCACTCATCATGCCTTGGCCACCTTCAAAGATTTGTTACGACTTGGTGGAACGAGATGGTTTGTCTGTGACCTAATTAAAGTTAGTATGTTATAGGTTTTGTATCTCTCTCTCTCTCTCTCTCTCTCTCTCTCTCTCTCTTGTGGATTTCTTAATTTTCATGCAAATATATACTGTATATATTTTTGGGGATCATTTGAGTTATGTGAAGAGAATTTTTTTATTGGTAGAGCAAGGTTATCAAGCCAGAAATCAAATAAAATCCATATCATAACTGGGAGCTGTTGTGTGCTGTTGACTTAGTGCAAGCAGAGAGTATTGGAGAGGCAGTGGAGAAATATAGGAAATAGAAGGATGGTATGGTATAGTCAAAGGGCCTGTGATATTGTGTGTTGAATCTGAACATCTGATTTTGACATCTTGTGGGTGATATTCTTTGAAATTAATGTGAATACCTGCACTGCATCTGATGGCCAGCACATGGTAAATATTTCTTTTATGTTTGTGTCTTCACTTGTTAAGCAGCATGACAAGGACAGAAGAAGCCTTACTTCTCTTGTAAAGTCTTATGCAGTCTCACAGTCTCATCAGGTTCAAGATGGCTGCTATCATAATGTTGGGCAAGGATTTGTTTTGGGGGGGGGGGGGCATATTTTTTGTATTTCAGAACAGAATATAAGATAAATTCTTACAGATTAAAAAACAAAAAATCGGATTGGCCATAAAAGCATTGGATCAGTTGTAAAGCCAGAAACAAGGGTATAATTTATTTTAGCCTAATAAGGCGGCTGGATATTGAGAAAATTGGCAAATTTTTGCATAGATGTAGGCTGAGGTGGCCAGGCATGTGGAGAGAATGGAGAAGATCAACTGGGTCAAGAGATGAGTCTAAATGTGGAGAGAAAGAGAACCACAAGTAGGCTAAGAATGGCATGAAGAAAATGGTAAGAAATTACATTGAGTTAAGAACCTGCCAAGAGAGACTGTTAAAGTCTGCACAGTATGTAGAGCTGGCATCGGATAATCACAGCTAATCCTCACAAGTGGGTAAAATGGCCATAAATGATGCTGATGAATGACGTACATTATCGTTGGTCTAGACTAAGTTTCACCAATTTTGTTGAGTCATTCTGCACACCTTGGTAAAACACATCAGCAACAACACACAGAAACTTGTAACAGATTTAAGGTGTGATGTAGACTTGAGTAGGACAGTGTGGTACAGGAAGACACTTTCTTTCAAGGTTGGACAAACTTTTTACATATTAACTCTTTAGTTCACTGAATGGTTACTTTTGCACTTACATATGTACTTGTACTTACATACTTGTCTTAGGATTTAAAGCTGAAGACCATATTGTAGTTTAGCATTTTCAGAGGTGTAATTTAATTTTTCATAAGAACAAATTACTACTGTACCTAGCATTATGAGGTCCTCACCTACATCAGGCACACATTATGATAAGTCAGAAAATAGAAACAGGAGTTTGGTTTTCACACAAATCAACCTTTGATATGAGCATCATGCTGGGATGATTGCAGTACACACTTGTTAATATTATTGCCTGCAAGGAGTATACACTTTTCTGATGATTAATTCAATTTTTGTTGACTTGTTTCTTTTGTATACAGAGTAAACTCCAGAATAATGTGTGTGTGTCCTTTTAAATTGTTTCTACACTTGTAAATGTTGGTTTTATTGTATTTAACAGGTAGGGATGCAGAGTGTCTTCCACTCTGATCTGACTCGTGGCATGGACTTGATTTATGGTCTACTGCATCAGAATGTAGTTGGTTGTACATTAAGCTTACTGGTACATGCATTACCCATGCATATATCTGGATCTTGTTCAGGTGAGATGTCAGTGCTTGTATACACAGAAGTCAGTTGCCCCTTTCTGGCCCATGTGAATATTGTCAATAGAGTATTAGAGATGTTAAAGTAACCTTCCTACCATTGCTTTATTCATTTATATTTTGGCAGCACTGTTTCTGGTCCTTTAATAGACTAATTTGCTGTACCGTACTTGCCTATTTTTTAATGTTATATGAAATAGTATTATGTATTTTGTTTGTATAGTATGACTCAGCTGTGAACGTATCATGTAGTACAGTACTGTAATTAGTTTTAATTTTTCAGGTAAAATTTCTTTTGCTTATGATTAACTGAATCATGTTTATTCCAAAGGGGAGTTAATAAGCAAGCAAAGAACAGAAGCGTTGGCTCGCCTTGCAGTCATGATGATTATATCAGCTTGGCTGGCCGTCCAACAACCCCCTGTTAAAGCCGAGGTTGGTAGCTGTTGTTTTGTTTATGACCACTGTTCAGGGTAATAGAGTATATGTAGTGTTTTTTCTTTACACTGTTAATTTTCTGGGATGTTCTCTGTTGGTCACTTAATTATTGTTTTTAATGTAAAATAAGTAATAATAGATGACGTGGAGTAAATACAGAAGAGCACATGAGGTATGGAGGGAATATAGTGTATACCTAATAAACATAATACACTACTGTACTTTAATAGTTAGTGTACAACAAATTCAGTAATTTCTTTTAAGTTAATGGACTTGTATTTTAATTTAATGAAACCTTTAAGTATGGTAACTCATAACCTACATATTGTATATTGTTGTATGTTATTTTCCCTCAGCTGGGGTGGGTGGGGGGGGGGGAGAAATATAGTGCCACTTGCCTCTGATCTTAAAGGACCAGTTTGACTGAAGTGGGATTAATTTAGAGTTACTGTAATTGGAACATAAAATTCTGGTACTCTTTTTTTTTATAGCATTACCTGATGGAAAGTCCTTATAAACTGATACAGCTGGCTCTTTGCCACATTATTGGAGTTTCTGTACGAGACACATACTTACATGCTGAACACATCATGTCAGTACTGTTAGTGACCACATGTTACGGTCCAGGATACCTTGCCCTTTAGAAATGTGAGTCTCATATGTTAGGTCAAGTTATGTGAGATTAGGATGTATCTAGACCAGAGAGGTGAAGCCAGGAAGTGATGTCATTGTTAGTCTCTGTGCTGTACAATATAACATAACTATTGTACAACCTCACCATCTTCTTGTGTCCCTCTAGATAACTGTTTTGTCTCCAGAGGAACTAATTATTCTTTGACCTTAGAAGTTATGGCCTGATTTATATTTTGTTAGATACAATTAGCTTGTTGTGTTTGTAGTGTTTCTAAAGCTACAATTGCATTTATAACCTTTTATTTTGTCATCTTAATGTTCTTTGACTATCTTATTTAATTATCACAATTTTTATTTACAAACCATTAAAGATATGTAGTCTAAGATCTGTATTGCAGTTATTATGAAGTGATATTTTTATTTTAATATTTAAAAGATAAGTATTTATATGCACAATATAAATGTTATTTTATTTTATTTTTTTAGGTTAACCCCCAAAATTATTTATATACTCAAGATATACTGCACAGTAAGTGAGACAAGATAGTAAGTTAAAGTACTAAATGATGAGAATATTATATAGGTTTTAAAGCCACATTTACAGTTAATGTTTTTACTACACCATATAAATTTTTTTTAAATATTAACCCGTCAGCATAGTTATTGTTTCATTGACGTGTCTCAACTATGTCATTTCCTCCTTTGTAAGTAGAGTGAACTCACATTTTGTCATTAAACATCTTTTAGTCTGCAACATCAATAAACTTGGTGATGGGAGGTGGTGGAAATGTGAGCTTGAAGAGGACCTACCATGACCGGGAGCTGGAGGACCTGGAGGCTAACCTGCAGCAGCATTCTGTGGATCTGGCAATTCCTCGGGGCACCCCGGGACTAACTAAAGATGGGACATCTCTCTTGGCTGCCGTCCAGTCACTACTGAAGCTTATGACGCAGGCAAGTGATAAGGGATGTATCGTAGGTCGCTCTGTAAATGAACCTTAAAAGGATTTAATGTAAACTGAAGCTATGTTTATTTATTGGTTTTAATTTATTTTGTACATAATTCCTCATCCTTCTTGGAAAGTTTTCAGCAACCAACAAAGTATATAATAATGATATTGTGGGCTGAACAGTATTTCTTTATGGTGTTATTGCTTCTCATTTGGTAAACTATACAGTACAGTATATCTTTTTCTGGTTAATATCTTTTAAGTGTCTTGGCTGATATTCTGTACGAGGCTGTGTGTGCATACTGGGATCCTCCACGTTTCAGAAACTCAGGTTGCGGAAAGTCGCCCTTTCGGAAGGACCTGTTGGTCTTTATGTTATTAATGCAAAAGTTGCAAATTCACAAACCCTCTGCGTATATTCTTATGCACTGTAGGAACATTGTCTGAAAATTGGTGTTCAATTTTTTTTTTTTTTTTTTTTTTTTTTTTTTTTTTTTTTTTTTTTTTTTTTTTTTTTTTTTTTTTTTTTTTTTGCAGGTAAGCCAGGCTGGAGTTGTGAGCCCTGTATCTCAACTGGTAGTGGACATTCTGCATGAACTCATTGCTGCGCCATACAACCACACCCTTCTTACGCTAACTCCACCAGCACTTCTCCCCAACTTGGTGCCACTACTGTCCTCACCAGATGCATTTACTTATGCGGAACTCTTAGCCATCACCGCCCCCAAGCCCGCCTCACAGCCTGATACAGCAAGAGAATTTGTAGGCAACTTCATAGGAGCTCAAACACCAGCTCAGGCAGCTGGAGCAAGAAGAGCAGCAGCAAAACTCTTATGTGTACAGCGCAATTTATGCTTATCCAATGAATCTTCTTTAGAGCCTGTGTTTTAAATTGTTGTCTATGTACAGATTCTGTATTTATGGTGTATAACCATAATACTGGACTGCTGCATATGTACAACCTCACATGATATGAAAGGAATGTAAATTGTTTCACTATGTAGAAATAATCAAGGTACATAAATGAAAATTCACAAAAGGAAGAACCAATTAAAAAAGACAAATATAGACAATACTACAGCCTTGTGTTTGATACATCTCTCGTTGGGGCTGCACTCTCAACAGATATATTTATTATGGAAATAAACTTTTTAGAATTATTGTAATGATGTTTCTCTTTCAAAAACAAATAAAATTATCTATAGCTCAGGAAACAGAAGAATTTGGGGGACAGTGGTGTCATGATACTTTCCAAAATACAAATTCATGTTCATAAATTTGCTGTTATCTCTATTAAAGTACTGTACTAACTGGTTTTTTAAATATTGTGGTCAAATACAGTATTCATAATTCATGGCCGAGCGGTGAGCCATGGCAGCGGTTGAATCACCTCATTTGGTGAACAAATTCCTGCTCCTGTCTAGAGAAGGTTCTCACAGCAGCAGTAATAGTAGTAACAAAAGGTGGAGGAGGAGCATAATAGAAGAAGTACTAGTATTTGTAGTTGGAGAACTGACACACAAATCATTCTACAAGGACAGCGGCCAGATCAAACATCACTGATTCCAACACCTATTATCATCCTTTATCAGCCGAACAGAGGACACTTAAACAGATAAAAATGGTCATTATTGTCAGAGGGAGACAAGTTATCACCTCCCAATAATATTATCAGTTCACACCAGTCAGACATACCGCCACCAGCCAGACTCATTAACTCATGTGTTCGGCTACTATAGCACCTGTGGTGATTGAGGGTCGATGGAAATATGTTCCCAGACTGTGTGAACCAGCCATCCTACTTGACCCTAAGGCTGATATATCTATTCCACTGGTTAAAGACAGGTCAGTGCTTTCAATAATGTAATTAACGAAATTTTATAATGGAGTGATACTTAAGGAATATAGAAATTAATATTAAATGTATGTTATTATTTAATTTACCAGTGCTAAGATAATTGTGTTAACAAGCATGTCAGTCGTTATCCTTCGTTCATTTTAATCTGTTGGCTGCTCACAATTACACATTATTAGTTGAATATAGCGAAGACATCAATTTTATTTGGGTGGAGAAACTGTACAGCTATGTGCAGAGTGACATTAACCAGCTGCCGTTACTGAATGGTCATTAACCCTTCACACCAGCACAATAGGAAATGTTAAAATATCACCACGAATAAAACCTTAACATTTCCTTTTAAGACATCAGGAATGACCAAACCTAACCCAAACTACCATATGTTTTTTTTATTAGATTATTTTCCATTCGTGTCATTTGTTTAAATATAAATGGTTTAGCGGCTCAGTTTGGGTCATTTTTTAACATTGACAGACGTCTAGTAACCTCCCCTGGCAAGTTTGTTTATATGAAAGTTCCTCCGACATCCGCTAGATGGCTGCGAGTGTGTGAGGGCTACCTGTATTGACCAATAGAAACATAGCTTCAACAGCTTTTCTATAAAATCAAGTTTTCATTGGTCAGTAATACATAGTCGCACATGAAATCTCACATTTACTACGTAACAGGTGTTGACCAATAGAAGTAGAGCTTCTATAATTCTCATAAAAGTCGTAATTTCATTGGTCAAACCAGTTAGTGAAGATGACAGGTGGTAGTTAACGAACGTCTGGTGTGTTGGCCGCCTGGGTCAGATGATCGACGTCTTATAACCTTCACTAACTATAAAGATGTCTACTGGTGGCTCCTACAGTAACGAGCGGCCGCCTACAGTGGACGTGGACTATGCCGCAGATCCCGCCTCGGGCAGCTTCTTCAGTACAGAGTTCAAGAAGTATGTGCTGTCCCTCAACATCAACTATATCACCATTTAACTGATTATATCTCTCTATATTGCCTTTACCTTGTAATTGTTATCCTTCGTTTAAAGGGACCAGTCATACTCTATCTGGTTCTGAACAAAAGCAGTAACACTTGGGGTCAAATGATCGTTAAGGTCATCCAGTTATTTATTAGGATTTTATGTTATGGAATTGGTAGTTTAGACAATTAAGACACTTCTACTATGGCATTTCTTCCTCTCATGATTACTTTAAAAGAAAATTGCAAAAAAAAAAGAAAATCATTGTATTTTTTTACTTCAAGTTGTTGGAAGTTGACATTATGTTTTTTGGTGTTTTTAATGAATTTGGTAATTAATCGTTTTAACAGCCTTTTTCACTAGATCTTTGGTTCCTGATGTATTTTGATTTATTTCATTCAGATCCGACTCTCGTTAATGTGGGAAGGCCGTCGTTAAAAAAAAAAGATGTAAGTTATCCTTGATCTAAAACGGTTATTTTCCATCTAAAATGAAGGTCAGAACTGAAGAAAATATCTAGACCCATAACTTACGGTCCCACTAATTACCCAAATGTAGCCGCAATGAAGTCAAATGATGGTCGTACAAGCGTAATTTGGGCTGTTAATCACTTCTCGATTATTATTTGGTGTCGTAAAGTAAAAAAAAAATTGGTAAACTTAATTTAATCTGATTTGTGTTGTGTTAGGTTAGGTTAGGTTAGATTAGATTAGGTTAGGTACATGCACTTGATCTATTAACTCAGATTAAATTAAGTTTACCAATTTTTTGTGACTTTGTGACACCAAATACTAGTCGAGAAGTGATTGGCAGTCCGATTTATTCATCTAGGACCATTATTTGACTTCATTCCGGCTATATTTGGGTAATTAGTCGGACCCCATAGCTTAAACTAAATTAACTTACCTTAACCTAACTTAACCTCACCCGACACCTGCGGGGGCAGTCTGACCCGCCTCACGGCTCCAGACAGCTCGCGGTGGGACATGAAATTGCGGGTGGAGATTTATTGATGTAACAATTTTTCCGAAAGAAACGCGTTTGCAAGAGGCTTCAAGGGTTGAGGAATGTATACATAAGGTAGAAATTGGCTAAAGCTAGTGCTTTTATGAGATTCAAGATGTGCTAAATCGAATAATAATCACGAATTTATCCTTCATTTCAGCCGCTAATCACTATTTTTGGGGATAATCTTCCTTATCCAATTTTTATGGTGGAACCCCAGTGGGAACCAGGGGTGTTAGGAGAGGGAAAATCACAAAAAGTAGTAATTTGCAATAGAATTGAAGGTCAGATTAATCCAAAACCTAACCCAACCTCACCTATCGACCTGTGTGCTTACCTTAATTCGACTCAAAAGACTCTTGAGTTGGGGTCATCAGGGTCGTCCCCCACAGGTCACAGCAGTTCTCCTACAGTACCAAAGGTGTTTCTTAGCTTTATAGGTACAGGGCTGGCTACAGTTCATTCAAGTAACCTCAGTTGGCAAAACACTGTGTTCGTGGAAAAATTTCAACGCCTCGCCGTCCATACCGTAATATTCTACGTGAGATCCTGCCACGGCTTGGAAATAATCAACATCACAGCCATTGCATAATGAAGCCATCTTGGAACTGAAATAAAATTCAAGCAGGTAGCGGCAGGGGGCCTATCCGAGTTGTGATTGGTTGATCCCAAATCATACCCAGTAATTAATGCCCAAGAAACAACTGCGCATGTGTCAGACTCTAGTACAGGCGCTCACTGGGTTGGTGGTAACATCAACAAGAACTAAGAAAAAATACGACAATTTCCCCAAAACATATTGTGATTTTCTCTGAAAGTAATCATGAGCGGAAGAAATGCCATAGAAGAAAAGTGTCTAAGAATTGTCTAAATTACCGATTCCAAAACTTAAAATCGTAAAAATCGCTGGATGACCGAAATAATGATAATGCAATACCAAAGTTAGGCAGTGGATGTTTTGCCGTGACCAGTAAGTTCCCACTAACACTATCTTACCGTGTGTGCGCACTGATTGGCTACTCGTCCATTACCGGTCCTGACTCTGGTGGCAATTGGCATTTATTTCACCGTGTGCATGTTGTGCATGGGAACTTACCATTATAAAAGAGGCGACATTTACTAGAACGTAATACAACCTGACCTAACCAACCAAAGCCTACCAATCTTCCTATTAAACAAGACGTACACGGCACTTAGCCAATCAGAGCGCACTCAGGATAAAATAGCGTTAGTAGGAACTTAGCTGGTCAAGGTAAAATATCCACTGTATATAAAAGTTAAGGATGGGAATCAGGGTAAACGGCTACATAATGCACAATGTTGGAGCAGATGGTGAGCACCGGGAGGAGTTTTTCCATTAAATTTATTTTTATTTTTTCCACAGATGTTCTTTGGATGATAATAAGTAATAAAAATAGTTTTACAATATTTTAGTTTCGGTCATTCTGGAAATTGGTTAGGTTACTTAGGTTAGGTTAGGGGTAAATATTTAGAAATTGCGTCTTATACTGTATTGGGCAAAAGAGAAAAAATAAGGTAATTATTCGGATAATGACCGTCCGCTGTTTTTCATTGAAGATGGGGTTAGGTTAGGTTAGGTTAGGGGTAAATATTTAGAAATTGCGTCTTATACTGTATTGGGCAAAAGAGAAAAAATAAGGTAATTATTCGGATAATGACCGTCCGCTGTTTTTCATTGAAGATGGGGTTAAAATACCCAGTTTTCACTGATTTTGTTGGGGATACTGTATTATGTTGGGGAAACTGTATTATGTTGGGGAAATTGTATTATGTTGGGGAAACTGTATTATGTTGGGGAAACTGTATTATGTTGGGGAAAAATATAAAAATGGCTGAAATCATTTGACAACCTAACCTAAGAAAACCAAACCTAACCTATATCTCAACTCGCCTATACAGTATCTAGAAAACATAGCATTTACACAAGAAAATGAATAGAAGTGAAAGTATTGTGTACAAAACTTTCAAAAAATACTGTACCCTCCATAATTACCGAACCACTGACGGTTACCAGTCATTTATTAGCCAAAAATAAAAATACTTTTTCTACAGCGTTTCCATCGGAATTTTTATTTTTCGAGTGTTTTAACCGATAAAATTACCAACGATATTACATGTTCAAAGTGGGCAGATCTTTGAAGTAGAGAGAGGGCAAATGTGGGGTAAAGTACGACAAAAACACTAAATAATCTTCTGGCCAACCTAAACATCTAACCTACTTAATATTAGAATTTATTTAACCTGTGCTAGGATAGTTAGGTTGGGTTGATTCATTTTATCTATGATAAGTTATATAATGGAGTAGTATGCTCAGTATTAGGTAGGCTTTTGGAAGCATTCCTGTGGAAGAAACATAAACCAGTTTCTTGTATCATTATGTTAAAAATTATTTACATACTGTTTTTGTTTTTTCTTCAGACATGAAGATCTTAAACAGATGCTGGACAGTAATAAGGACGGCCTCAAACTCGAGGCTATGAAAAGAATTATTGGGGTCAGTATCTGTCATTCCTGCCAGTTAAATAACATTATATAAGTAGTGATTATGTAATACAGTACAGTACAGTAGTTTCATGATCACCATTTTTTTTCTTTTTGTTAAGGTTGGTGAGGTAAACATGCTACTGTGACAATATGTTTGAGTAAGACTGCTTGTTGCACTGTGGAACATTTGTGAGTCAGCCCTGCCACAGTGACCTGGCATTACAGTATATATCACATACAAGTCATAATAGAAAATGTTTATCTCTACTTTATTCTCACTGTGTTTGGAAATTGAAGGAATAGAATGTAAAGGAATTATTTTATGGTGAGCTGAGAAGATGGGAATGGGTCAGGAATATTGTGAGGTGTGGTGTAGCAAGATGTTGGGTCACACTAAAGGATGGCCTGTTGACTATGGCTGAAGGATGGGTCCAGTCATTCATGCAGTAACAGTGATGGAATGATGAAGTGAACAGAGTAATAAAGAAGAAAAGGGAATTTACAAGACCTGGAAGATAGGTAGTGATGAGGAAGAGAACTTGGAGCTCAGAGGAGAGTTTAGATGGCTAAGAAGCAGGAACAGGATGCATTTGTAAATAAGGTTCATGATATGGATGCTAGAGGTAAAGTAACAGAATAATGGGTGGAAATAAAGATGTAGTTGGTGAGAAGTGTATGAGATATGACTGAAAATGTGGTTGTTGACTGAGTAGATGTTTGAACCTTGCCTGAGGATTCAAAGAGAATGGACAAAGAATAAAAAGGCCACTGATACTGTAGCTCTGGAATAGTTGAGATGTAGAAGGCATCAGACAATACTGTACAATACTGGTGTGACGATGGTAACCAAATTGTCTTATGTAGTTATGGTAGAAAGTATTGCTCCACCTGATTGGTTGAAGAGTGTGATCACAGTCTCTCCTCGACTTACAACAACCCGGACATACGGCAGCCCTGTCTCCTCCTCTGCTTCATCCAATTAATGTAGTCTCTATGCTTAATTAAAAAATTATTGAGGCCCTGTATGCATTCAGCTGACTACATTAAAGGTAAGTGCACAGTAACACTTTATTCATTTTTCATTATTGATTACTTTTACTGTACTGTATTTCATTTTAGAATTTCTATGTATTATTTTTGCCTTTTCAACTTACGACCTTACAAAGAAAAAGATGATGCACTTAATAGAATGAAGATACTACAGGAGCCTGAAGTTGATGTTAAGTGAGTTATGGGAAGAGAAAAGAAATTGACCATTAATGAAATAAAGTTTGGGTTCATGCCAGGTACTGAGGCAATGTTTATGGCCAGCAACTGTGAGAGAAATGTCTTGTGAAGGAGAGAAAACTGTTTTTACCTGTGTATATAGTACCTGTACAGTGAGTGTAGTGGGTAACGAGTGGCTGGAAAAAGTTGAGGGAGCTGTTACCTTATTTGATGGTGAGAGGACCTTCTCTACACCTGAAAGGAAAGATGTATACAACCAGCTGGAGAAACATGTTGTTGTATGGTAGTTAAAGGAAATGATGTATGTCGGCTTGAGCTTGAAATGAGAATAGTGAAAGGGATGTGTTATTGTTCAGGTTTTGTTCAGGTATGTAGAGAATGGAGGAGACCAGCTGGGTCAAGATCAGCATGATTTGGGATGTGTAGGGAAGGAGAGCCAAGAATAACATAGGAGAGATTGTGAGAAATTTGCTCAGGAGTTGAGAGGCTGCAAGAGGTCATGCAGTTTGGAGAGCTGCATTCTGGGTAATCACAGCTAATCCATGTAAGCACAGAAATGGCTGTAAGATAGTGATTGGGTGTTTTCAACAAGCCAGTGGGGATAATGCCATACAGTGCTTATAGTATTGACACACTGGATATAAATTTACCTCCACACTGGAGATCCAAACCTGGACTCAATGGACAGGCAGCTCAGCTCACTAGTGAAATAATGCCTTGGTTTACAGTATAGCTGTGTACAGTAGTACCTGATACATGAATACTGCATACGAGTACTTCTTCATGAGAGTTCTTATGATGGAAGGGGTTATACAGCATTAGGTATACAGTACAGTACTGAGTAGTACCTGTATATGCATTCAAGAAGTTAGAAAAGTAGAATTTGAAATGGGGTATTGTATTAACTAAAGCATTTCTTATCATTCTATCCATGAATCCTGTCAGATGGTAGCAAAAGGAAGAGATGCTTCAGAACTGTTTCCAGCTGTTGTGAAGAATGTTGTCAGTGCCAACCTGGAAGTGAAAAAATTAGTGTATGTTTATCTAGTGCGTTATGCTGAAGAGCAGCAGGATCTGGCCCTGTTATCCATCTCCACTTTTCAACGAGCTCTCAAGGTGGGTGTCATGAGGAATTAAGTTTGGACCCATTATCCTGGCAGTTAGTTTTCTGAAGTAATTTAATTTGTTTAAGTAATTTATTCACTCCTAACCATTTAAGGATATGTCATTTAGTTACAGTACAGGGGGTCCCCGGGCTATGAATGGATTCTGTTCCTGAGGAAGTTCTTAAGTAAAAAATGTACGGAAGTTGGAGCACATGCGATGTGCATACTGTACTTACAGAGCAATATTTAAAATCCTACTACAGGTATATCATACCTTAAGTCTTTATATATATCTAAAATCACTTAATTTAAGAAAAAAGAAGAAATAGAATGAGAAAATACAGTAAATTAAAGTAAAAAACAGGTCATCAGGTAAATAAAATACCGGTACTGTAAATTTAAAGTTTAACTCCGTTCATATCAGCAGGCCTTCACAAACCAGATATTCGTAAGTCAGGGACCTCCTGTATTTTATTCAGGCCAACACCAGATGGTTTTATTCAGCTGAGAAAAAACCCTGCCCTTCAGTGGGCTAAATGTAAAATGCTGACTAAAAGGTTTTTAATTTTATGTATTTATTAATTTGTTATTATTATTAATATTTTCTTTAGTGAAATACTGTACTATAACTAATTTTGCCAATATTAAGTCTCATAACTTTTGTATAAAGGATAAGTCCTGGAATTTCATTTGCAAGTTTAACAATCCTCAAAAGAATTACAGTTGTCATATATTATCTATTAAAAATAAGGACATTAACCTTAATTTGTATGTTTACCGTATATTATGGTTTAAAAGTGTGTAATGTTGCAAATACCTTCATTACCTTACAGCTTTTATCTTCAAATGGTAAATAAAATCTGCATCTTGCTCTGGCTGTCCTTCAACAAATGAGAGAGCAACATTAGAGGACGTCATAGAGTAAGCAGGAGGATGAAGATATGTTTTATATAATGAGCTCATGGTCTTGTTGTCTTTCAGGATCCCAACCAGCTGATTCGAGCATGTGCCTTGAGGGTGTTGTCAAGTATCAGAGTTCCTGTTATTGTACCAATTATGATGCTGGCTATTAAGGATGCTATGACGGATATGTCTCCTTATGTGCGCAAGACAGCCGCTCATGCCATACCAAAACTGTACAAGTATGTATGTTTGGGTGTATTGTGTATTAAATGATTTTTTAACACATGAAGTACAGTACTGTATTTCACTTTTAACTTACAGTACAGTATACACTTCAAGATAGAGAGGTGAAGAATGTGGAAGAATATTTACACACTTGGGAGAGATTGTTTTGTAAATTTAGTTGAGAAATGTCCTGTAAACTATAGTAATAATATACCTCTGAGGTATAGGTGTGACCTAGTGACAAGGCAGGAATTCAAGTGGACTGTATTATCAAAATGTGAATCTACTGAGCCATTCTCCTTCAAGTTGTGTTCGTCTCATGGAGGGTGGAATAATAGGTTGAGGTTAAGGACTTAGTCTTTAGGATCAGTGTTAAGGAGATGTGGTTTAGTGACATTAAGGGAGGAGGGTGATAGAGAGCTCTCACCAGGTAAAGGAATGTACCGTAAGCTTTCTTTTTTTACACAAATTCTTCTCAGCATCTACTTGTGTGTGTTTATGTGACAAACACGCACAAGCACACACATTCATGGATCATAATAATACATGTAATTGATTTCAGTCAATTTTGACCAAGGACAGCTGACAAAGCCATGAGATGCTTGTTTTCAGTAGAGTCCTTTTGCCAACAGCATCTGGTGTCCTTAGGGCCATTGGTCACCCATCTAAGTACTAACCAGACTCAATGTTGCTTAACTTTACTGATCGGACAAGAAGCAGTGTTTCCAATGTATTACTACGACGGTCATTCAATGAGTAACGAGACAAATGAATAGAACTTGTTCCATATTTCTTTGAGTTTTGTTATTCCTGTTGTGAAAAAATCTTCCAGCTGACTTTGTAAGCAATTTCGGATTTCTCTCTTCACCTTTTCATTATTCAAAAAATGCATTCCACTTAAATCTGTTTTGATCCGACCAAACATGTTGTAGTCTGATGGTACGAGATCTGGACTGTATGCGGGGTGCAGCAAAATCTCCAGCCCAGTTCTCTAAGAATTTTCTGTGTATTCTGTTCACTGTGGGTGTTGAAACCTTGACTGGTCGTCCGGCACAATGTCCATAATGCTTGTTTGACCATTCTTGAATTGTTCAACCAACTTGCAAATGTTTGTTCGACTGATGCAATTGTTTCTATATTGAAGTGATATTCTGTGATATTCTGCGATGAATTTCGCTTGGTTTTATCCCTTCTGAATTTATAAAACAAATAACAGATCGTTGCTCTTCCAAAGTACAAACTTCAAGTGGAGAACTCATCGTTAAAGGAACACTTACTCGAGACTAATAGAATGAGCTGACTAAACAAACGGATTAAGATGTAACTTCTGCATGTCTAAAATTTCATAACGTGATCACTGTGCTTGCCCCTCCTCTTTGCTGTCTCCATCAAAAAGTCTCGTTACTTAATAAATGACCCTCATACTTTTTTGTCATACATACTTCCCAGGAAAAATTTATATACTGTACTAGAATCATTTAAAAAGAATGACAATTATAAGAAAGTAATAACAGAAATACGTATACTTGCATGAGATGAATTTTAGAAGGTCAAGGGGAAGGTTGAGAGGCAAGGTGGCAGGTTTTAGAGGTAGAGTGTTAGTAAAGTCCTACAGTATTGTGGTGAGACTGGCAGCAGGGCAAGAACAACATGTACAGTATATTGATAGAGGACTTAAATGTTCTATAACAATGTATCATATTATTACTTATATTTATGAACTTTTCAGTCTTGATCCTGAGCAGAAAGAGGAATTAATACAAGTAATTGAAAAGCTGCTGTCAGACAAGACCACACTAGTAGTTGGCTCAGCAGTGATGGCATTTGAGGAGGTTTGTGATAATTTATCCAGTTTGAAAGACAGAAATTATGAGTTCAGATTTTATTCATGGTGAGGAGGCATAACCCCATCCAGGTCCCAGTGTTAAACTTAAGTTCCTACTAAACACAACCAATATTGATTATTTTTCAATTCTCATGTCATACTGAAACGTGATCTGTACGTATGAAACAATTAGTTATACTGTATTACCTTTCTCTTACCTTGTGTTAATTTAGAGAATTGTATTGAGTAATTGTTACTTAGTTGTAAGATCAGAAATATTTGTTCATTGTTTCCATCTGCAGTTTATTATCTTATTGTACTGTACACATACCGGTACCTTCATTGACAGGTCTGCCCAGAGCGAATTGATTTGATCCACAAAAATTACCGAAAATTATGCAACCTGCTCGTGGATGTGGAGGAATGGGGTCAGGTCATCATCATAAACATGCTGACCCGATATGCTCGTACCCAGTTTGTTGACCCCAATGCTGGTGTGAGTACCATTGTGCTTTATAAGAAGAAAGTAAATAGCTTAAACGACAAAAAGTGACCATAATAAGAGTGAAACAATGCATTAAAATAAGGTCTCACAATTTCAAATTTTGGAGAAGGTGAAAATTTAATGAAGTTTCAAATTTTAAGCATACACAAAGTAATCCCATCCAGTTTGAATTAGACCATGTAGCTCAGTACTACTTGTGTGAGAACTGTGTGTGTATGTCTTCCACTCACTCATGTGGAGCCTGGAGTGTGGACATCCCAGCCACAGTATAGGACAGTGATATACATGAAACCTTGGCTATAGTTTGATCTTTAAGTGACTTGTTCTGCTGAAATAGATAATATTACACCAGAAGACTTTGCTGTTTCTTACTCACCCTCCCTACTCCATGCTCTACACAACACCCATTATTGTCCACTGCTCTTCATTGCCAACTTCCCCACCCCTAACACTCATTCCCTTATGTGAAACAAGGATATAGTTATGATTCCAGAGCTTTCATGTGACTGATTTTCTTTTTAAAGCCTTTTCCTGCCACAAAGGAGGATGGTCAAAATCAAGAGCACAAACACTCCACTCCCTCTCATTCCCTTTCCTCTCCTCTTTTATCCCCTGAGTGGGTGATGGCATGAAGGGTGATTGTTTCATCATCATCATAGTTTGACAGCCATATTCTATGCTTGTTTGGTTAATATTAATTGCTCAACATCACAGAGTGAGGATGATGACAGGGAAAGACCTTTTTATGAAGATGATGAAGAAATTGAAGATGACGAGACTCTTGCAAAAAGGCCCAAACCAATGGATCCCGACCACAGACTCCTCCTTAGGAATGCGAAGCCGCTGCTACAGAGCCGCAATGCTGCAGTAAGTGAACACAGTACTCTGTTTCCTCACACACCATCACGATTCTTTATTTTTATAATGTCAGTTCAGGTTTTATTCAGTAAAATTGTTATACAAGTTTACATAGATTCATCATGTGTGTGCATATAGACAATGCACTTATACAATATACAAACTGTGCAGGTATACAAAAATGTACCTAGACAGTGCAGGTCAGGTATTGCTATTGGGTTTAATTCTTGCAAATTTTATGGGTAGGTGGTACTAGGAGTGGCTCAGCTGTACCAGCACATCGCCCCACGCACTGAAGTGTCACTCGTGGCAAGGGCTCTGGTGCGACTTCTTCGTTCTCACCGAGAGATTCAGGCCGTTGTTCTCACCAACATTGCTTCCATGTCCACACGGCGGAAGGTAAGCATTCTTATTCTGATCGGGATATTTAGTTCAGATTGCTAGTCTGTTCACCTTACTGTACTGGAATGCAACAAATTATTACTGTACACTGTGCTGTCTGTTTCATGTACATATAGGAACACTTGGCATGTACTTTTCTTCACAACACATCAGATGTGTCATTCATTAAATTTTGGAGTGGCAGGTATGAGTTTTATAATATTGTTTATTCTTTGTTAGAGAGAGAAGAGAGGTTAATACATTTTTATTGTAGTGAGAGTAATGACTGGATATGAAGATACTGTACTGTGTATGAATTTGTGTATCACTTGGAACTAAACGGAGTCAAATCAGTCTTGGCTTACAGTAAAGGCAGGTGTACTAAGAAGATGACAGTTCAAGATTCTTTCCTTCTGGTACTACAGCACCCAGTCAAGTTTATTAAGAATGTTTATACAGTACATTTTCATTAGCATCTCTCCTTTGTAAAATTAAGATATTATCCTTTCTTCCAATTTTTTCCTCATTCACTCTACAGCCTCCACTTTCCTACAGAATGATTAATGTTTATAACTACTGTACAAAGACTAAGAGCCTAAAACCATATAATTTTCTGGCTACATAAACAACATAACCCACCCTGATAAGATTACCATTGGATCATTAGGTTAGGTTTAGTTTGGGTCCTCTACTTTCCTGAGAAAATGGATGGATCAAATACTGAAATATTTTATTTTATTTGTCTTAACAGTGACCATCCAGCCTCCCTCCCTTAATGCTGTATCACTCACTCACTTTTATCTCAACACAACTTGGTGTCCCTTTTCCATCAAATAAATTAATGATCTTGAGTAGTGAGAGGTACCTTAAAATATGTTAGAATACCTGTCAGCTTGTGTTATGAAAGGTTATTTGTAACTGTACGCACCCTATCAGGAAGTATCTGTGCACTCACATCTACTACATACCCAGTACATTTTCTCTCAATGTAAAGGGTGCCATTGATTCTCACGTGAATTAGTTGTTTAAGATAGTCAGCTGTGTGAACATGAATGAATCTCAAACACATTTATGTGAATTAACATTTGATTTGCACAAGAGAAAATGTTATATGATATGACTGACTTCTCTCTGTGTTGTTTCCTCGTTATTGGCTTTCTTTCTTTTTCTTTTAATGACAGATCCATGAGTTTCCTTATCGACTTTCCATTTCTTCTGTTGTATATAATTTACGGTCTTTCCTCCTGATCCCTTTTGATTTGAAGATAATTATGTAATGTTTGTTTCCCAATTGTGATATTTTTCCCAGTATGTTATTTTTTGTATTAATTATTTTTTATTCTTCAGAGATTAAAATGTAACACATGCAGTGTGTGAAGAACTATGCCTAATATCTTGTAACACTTATGCTTGAATGTTGTGCAGTTGATAAGTTCAGAATTTTAAGAATCATTTGAGTTACAGCCGCCGAGTAGCTAATGTACGCATCACCGTCTTAGAGCTGAGGAACACAAGATGTGATATATTGTACCTTGTAACTCAGAAGATTAGAGTACAGTGGTCCCTCGGTTAACGAACGGTTCGATTAACGAAATTTCAGTTAATGAATTAGCTCCCATAAGGATTTTCAGTTTGATTAATGAAATCCTTACAACAAACACGTTTTGTTGTGCGCATCAGCTGATCGACTAGTCCGCCAATACAGTAATTGGTTCTATGTTTACATTCGTTTCCAGTGAGGCAAATATCAAGAAAGTTGGTTTCTTGAATATTTCTGCATTTTTTATATTAAAATTATTGGTCATTCTGAAATTTGGTTAACCTATTGATAATATAGACAGTACAGGGAACAGTATTTGTGCACCCATTAGCTGATTGAATCACCCAGTTTAACCTTGTTTACAGTGGAGTGAACATCGATTTTGTTGGTCTCTTGAATATTTTTGCATTTTTACATTAAAATTATTGGTCATTCTGAAATTTAGTTAACATATTGATAATATACAGTGCAGAAATTATGAAACATGAAGAAGGCGTTAGAACCAATGCACTCTGTAAAGAATATGGCATGTCATCATCGACTGCCTCTACAATATGCTGTTTGATATGTAAACAAAGCTGCCGGTAATACGACATACATACCTCAAAGTAAGTTAAAAAACAGTATTCTATCGTTCTTTATTTATTATTGTACAATATACTGTACAGTACTGTATTTAGTTTATATTTAATGTATTGTTAATTCTATTCCTGGTATACAGTACTTTGTATGTAGTACTTTTTCTGTGAGTTGGAACCAATTACCCAATATCCCATTGAGATAATAGATTCGGTTAATGAACGACTGGAACGAATTGTGTTCGTTAACCGAGGGACCACTGTACAGTATTAGGTTTATGTGAAGTTATACCATTTATTTTAAGTGTTTATTAATGGTTTTATTTTGTTCTCACCTTCCTTTTACAGGCCAGTGGATGTAAAGGGGAAAAAGAAAGTATTTTTGTAACATTTTCGTATCTGCACAGAAGTAAGATTATGTCTACTGATAATTTGGGAGAGGAGTGTCACACCACTATTTGTTAGCAGTGCAGCTAGACTTTCTAACACATATATAATTATAGTTAGCTTTGCATTATATCTTTAGTCACATGCACATCTGTACTGAATATACCATGCTCTTAGCCACACCACCAGACATGATTTCAATCACAAATATGTCCATTAAACTGCAGCATGAAAGTTGAATATATGTCTGTGTCTCTTTGTGTAAGACATGTCCAGTGTAATGCCTTTTAACAACCTTTTTCTCAGTATTTTGATGAGCTGGCAAATATTATTTCTTCCTATTGCTTCACATTACCCACCCAGAGGTTGAGACTTGTACGAATAGGGCAAGTTACTTAGTGAAAGACATAATCTTGTGTAACTATTATTTATCAAGACTGTACTCTACTGTATTGTACTCACTTGAATTTTCCTGCCTGGCCTCATTTCACTGTTAGCCAAGGATCAAGTCTATAGTTGACCTCTACCTGGCCTCATACACTGTTTGCCAAGGGTCAAGTCTATAGTTGACCTCTGCCTGGCCTCGCACACTGTTAGCCAAGGATCAAGTCTATAATTGACCTCTACCTGGCCTCATACACTTCCCTCTTCACACTCACTGTACCAAGTCCCTTTGTTTTTTGGTCACCATCAACTTTCAGGCCTCAAGTACCTTTCAAATTAGCTGTTTTCAATGCTGCTTTAAATATGGGTTTAGCATTGTATGTGCCTCTTTGGGTACATTAAGAACATCCCCAATCTTCCCCATGCTCTGTCTATTGTAGGAATTGTCTGTGAAGATTTAAATGATGATCAAGTCTCTAATTGTGAATATAATTGATGCATGCATATACTTGCACACTAGTGGCAGATATGAAAGAATTTGCATGGTTGGCAACCATTTACTTTTGATATTCACAAAAAATGGACATTGAAATGCACTTGGACACACATTGATAAATGCATTCATACACATTTGATAGACCTTTGTACACATAGGTAAACACATTTTTGTATAGATATATTTGCATATTTATTGTTTGCATACAGGTTTGTACATTCATATGCAAGTATATACAGTTACCCAAAACCTTGATATGTACACTTTTTTACTAATATCCTTACATGTACTGAACTGTACTGTACTGTACTTACATAAAATGTGCCCATCAGCTCCTTATAACACAATCAAGTGTACACATACTTACCTGTTTATGTCCAAGATTACATTTGTATTCTCATAGATGAGTTTCTTACTGTAATGCATTTGTAGTGACACCTTTTCATCAAGTACAGTGAACCCTCACTTTACGCGGTCAATTGAACCCACGGCGGCCCGCGTAAAGTGAACAACATAACATATGGGATTAATTGAAATAGAGACCGGGCCGACCCCCAAACTCCACTTTTTCAGAAACGATACCTACGTTGTAGTAAAAATAACTTCTTAATTTTATGATGGTATGCACACACAATTAATAATTAAGAGAAATATCAATAATATTAGGTTTTTTAACACGTACATTAGTAGAAAAGATGGCTGGGCACATGGGGATGGGGGGTTGGTTCCGAGGCAGAGGGCAGATTATTGGGCCTCACCTGTATCACTTGTATCAATTGTATCACTATCCACCACAGAGGCTTGCAGGGCCTCTTTGTCAAACCCCTCAAAGTCCATATAAGTCCATATCCTCACTATCATTATCACTGACTTGGGCCGGCTGTGGTGGGTGGCGGGTGAAGAACTCGGTAATGTTTTGATGACTGGGCGACCTTGTGCGCACCCTGCTCGCGTCGCTTTCCGCGTAAAAGGGTACACACGCCGCGGAAAGTGAGCATTCCGTGTTCGGCAGGGTACCGCGTAAACGTGGAAACGCGTAAAGTGGGACCGCGTAAAGCGAGGGTTGACTGTACAACTGTTTGCATGTAGTAACACAGACATAAACAAACACACACAACATTCATGTACATAATGTGGAGTAGTCACACTAATGCTTACATTTCATATATACTATACTGTCCTTAATTATTTCTAAGACATTCATTGATATAGAGGTGAATTCATTCATTTGTTCACCTATTTATACATTTATACTTAAACAAGGATACACATGTGTGTGGGAATACTGTTTATGTGTGTACCCGTATATGGTCATGGACAAAAATAAACACACACACACACCTGCATTTGTGCATGTTGACTTTGAGTGCTTCTCTGTTGCTGGCTTAGTTTCTGCAACTACAGATGCTTCAGGTATGCTTGCTTACCCACCTTCCTTGTGCAGTTATTAGTTAGGTAAGGTTGGCTGGCTGTTTTCTATGCCTTTTTGATGCAAAATGCTTATTTTCTTTTAACATCACAAGGGTTTTATATAAAAACAGTCATTTATGTTTCAGTTGGCAGTTTTTTGAGAGTTAGAGAACTGCATGATTTCCAGGGTAAAGTGAAATGGAAAGGATTATAGACAATTTATCTTTTATGGAGTGGGGACTTGAGTGCCTTTAAGGGAAAGGATTTTTGGCCATGAAGAAATATTTGTGTGAAATTGTATGACATTATTATTATGAGGGTTTGAAGTTTATGTGGGAGATCAATTGGACAGTATAATATAAAGTCAGCCTCACCTTGGTTATTACTGACACCAACTGGATCACAGGGGGTCAGTTGTGTTTGTATTTAGGTATATGTCTTTGACTGTATGTTGGCAGCATAACTCAAAACCACAAGCTTCTGTACAGTGTTTATAGATATGTTCACCCTGATCTTCCTTAGTGCTGCAACATTTTTAGGGGTCAAGGTTAAAGATAGTAGCTTTGAGAGAGCCATCCCTTGGTCTGAGTTGTCACCTCACTTAATGTTTGTTACGTGAGATGTATATAAATGGTCGTCTCTTTTGCTGTACATATATTGTGGTGTTCTGTCAGTAGCTGGAGCCATACATCAAACTTATGTGAATGATTAGTATATTTGTAGAGAGGAGGATGTAGTGGTATATCTCTTAGAACAATGATTCATTATAATCCTTACTGCTCTAGTGGAAATTCGTACGGGAAAAAAGAGCAAGAAATTATTAGGCTGTACAAAGGTTCAACAGTACCGCACAACACAACACATTTGGCTTTTCCCTTAGTTGCTTGTTGAGCCAATTTATAAAATGTCATGGGTAAGTATCATCCACATTAAGTACACAGATCATATATTTTGGCTATATTCACCGATTTATACCACAGCCTTTCACACCATTCATACAGAACTCATTCAGTGTCTCATTTGACCCAACTTTGCCCAGGTTATATATATTTAACTTTTTATATAGGAGGATGGAAATGGTGAGAACGTGTATGTGTGTTGCCCTGTTTAGACGTTGAAGGGTTTAAGGAACACAAAGAAGATAGTGATGTTGTTTAGGGATTTTGTATCAGATTGTCTCATTCACATTGGGTTTGGAAAGGTCAAGAGTGTTTGTCTCTTCGTCATTTGACACCTTGTCGTCTCATCGGCCACAGTATACCGAAGCTGTTAACATTGTGTAGCTGTATTACACGTCGCGTTCCATTGATTACCGTACAATTGTTACATAAATTTTCCGAGAGTTTGGAAAATCATTTGAAAGATTGTTCTGATCCTCATCATCATCCTTTGTGTCTTCCCCATCAACCACATTAGCAGCATCATCTTACTCATCTCATCAACCACATCATCATCATTGCTCATCAATCGTGCAGCTTCTGTGTGTGTTGCAGCTTCGTCACCCCACTGCTGTACCTCACCTTTGTTCAGATCCTGACCTACACAGACCTTTAAAAAATCTAATAATAATTGTGCTGTATTCTCAGTTGTCTCTTCCAAACCCCTAAGTCTTGATCACAGATGCCAGGTCACAGTTTTCATTGTCCCTTATGTTGTGTTTCCTGTTTAGCCCTGACCCATGCCAATGGTCTCACAACAGTACATCATTAAATGTTTAACTTGTAAAGAAGTCTGTCATCATAATTTCATCCTGACTGAGAGGATGCAACAGGATTATTTTTGTACATTCTTAAATAATGGATGAGAACCTGACACACCAGCTGATACAAAGATCAGTTATTAGCTGGCTAAAGCATTGCCGTCAGCAGATAGGGGCCACTTGCAAATGTGAACAGGATCATTATGCTTGACTATGATAGCCTTTTCTATGAGTTTTTACTAATAAGATGATTTTAATGGATGACATAGTGCTTTAGTGTGGGCTTCAGTGAACTAAAACTGCCAACACAGAGTACAGTGTCACTCTCACCCACAAACATGTTCATAGGGACACCATGACATGGGTTAGCAAATGTTTATTTGCTTGACACATGTTAATTGTGTTTCTTTTTCATAAATACAGTATTATTTTTACCAGTGCTTGGATTTTTTTTTATTCATATTTAGTTATCAGAAAATTTAATATCTCCGTTAGCCAGAATCACTCTTAACCGGAACTCTTCAGTAGCAGGAATTGAAATTTTCTCGTAAAATTGTTGCCAAAGCCGGAATTTTCCGTAAATTTCTGACTTTGGGAACGATTTTCTGAGAGACTCATTGAAAGGAAAATTCTGGGAAGATTTTCCCAGTGCCTGAGGAAGGGGATTTTTTTTTCCTGGTTTCAAAGATGAAAATCAGGCGCATTTTCTGAAAATTCCAAGAAAATTTTTCCGGTAACTGGAAAATTCTAGGGTTGGGGGATATATTTCCGGCTTTGAGAGATGAAATAATAAATCATTCTGGAAAAATCCGATACCTGGTAAAATTCTGGGGACGAACCATTTCTTTTCAGGTTCATGAGATGATGTAATGCGCAATTTCTGGAACTTCCGAGGAAGTTTTTCCGTTACCCAAAAAATTCCGGGGATGAGGGATTTTGTTATTTTCCGGCTTTGAGAGAGTCGTCTCGTTACTGGAAATCTCTCATTCCTTGAAGTGCCGTGCACCAATTGTTCCGGCTAATGGAGATATCATTGTATTGCATTTTTGGGTTGCTAGTTTATTTGGCGTCCTCCTTACATTCTGTGTAAGGCGAAGCTCAGCAGGGATGGGGCAGAGTTCATGCTTGCCTTCTTCGACATAGATGATGGCCTGAGGGGCCATTAGTTTTGTTAGCAAGTTACATGTGATGAAGGAAGAATACCTAGATGTATATGGGGAAGATGTCCTGTACAGTTCATCTGTTTATGACAGTGTGGTAGTTCCCTTATAATGTCAGGTGTCAGGTCGGCCACTAGGAGGAGGGATATTTGGTCAGGAAGGTATCTGGTATGGCAGGATGGTCACAGTGGGGGTGGAGTGAGGCACATAAACTTTGATACTAGTGAAGGTCAGACCTTTTAGTGTATTTGTGAGGTATAGGAGTGTCTGTGGAGGCTCAGTGGAGCAGGGTGTGGGGTGACATCCCTGAGTTCATTAGGAGGGAGTGCATGTGGGACCAGGTCTAAGGGAGGAGCAGACATGTTGGCAACGACTGGTCAAGCCAGGCACGTGGCCCACACATGTGAAAGATCCAAATACAGACCCTGATGGAGCTGCAGTGTTGGACAGCAGTAGTGGGAGGCATGGCTCATAGGGGAGTAACCAGCTTGAGGTGAACTACAAGAGGGGAGTGAGTGAGTGGCAGAGGTAAAGGCCGCCACATTCTGAAGTACAGTAGTTCGTTGGTGATGGTAAGGAGGCCCCATGAGTGAGATTGACATGAACAACATTATTTTATAAACTAACAATTGGCTGATGTTCTATTGTAATTAAGAATACTGTATACAGTACTGTATTGTGCATTATTAATTTGCTTAGAAGTAGAGATTTTTTTATTGCAGAAATAAAGGCAAGACATAATAATTGTACGGTCAGGTATATAAACCTGTACTGTACAGAGCACCAGTGGCCATAAAGAGTTTTCTCACTTTGAGAGTTAATTTAGGAAATTAAAATAAAATAGTTTCAGCTTTATAAGTAGAACATTCCTGAATCAGAAAATATTGGGAATGACAGAAGGAATGTCAGCTTGGCATTTTCTTGTTTGCATCACTCACAGACATGAGTCAGGGAATTTTAACGTCAAATCTTCAGAGATTCTGTAGTAGCTACCACACAAGAATTTAGTACTGTAATGTGGAGTTTTTGATGCTGTGTTTTTGAAATGGTCTTCACTGTGTATGGATTATCCCCTGATAAAGTAAAGGGTAGAATTCATTGGTCTACATATGTGTATGAATCAAGTGTATTGTAGAATACTCACTTGATTTACACCCTAGATGTTCTTGTGTAAAAGATAAACATTCATTTTATAGAAACGGTTATAATATTGGTAATTGGCTGTATGAACCCATATCCTGATGTCTAGGTTAGTGTAGAAGCCATTAGGACAGGGGACCACATGACCTGCAGTTATAAGGATCACAGAAATGTTCTTTTACATCAGTGGCTACTTTTATTTAGGTAAATTCACATCAGTGCCGTAAAATCCATTTGATTTGTATAATTTTGGTAACGGCATTATTGAAGTTTATTAGTTAGTGGTAAATATTTACTATCCAGCAAATGAAAAAAGTACGGCTACTGTATTTATAGATTTTTTGCCATGTCTGTAATGTAGGATACTGTAAGGTGTAACATATTTTGATTTATACAGTATGTCTTGTTCATTATATTGTGTAGGCTATTGTAGACTATTATATTGTAGGCTATTGTAGACTATTATATTGTAGGCTATTGTAGACTATTATATTGTAGGCTATCATATTGTCTCTTGCAGTCAGTGATTTATATCCACAGGAAATAATTACAAACGGTGTTATTATCACAGTCAGGATTTTTCACTTTGGTTGAGTATATAAGACTTAGGTTCCCTTCCTTGTTGTCATAAAGATATATATTTTTAATTTATGCAACACAAGGTAAAAATATTGAAGTCATTTGTGTAATATTTCTCTGCACTTCTGTATGTTCTTTTGTACTGTACTGTACTGTACTGGTGTCCCACCCAAGATTGGTACTGTAGTTAGTTTAGTACACAAGGTAGAAAAGTTAAGACATTGTAAGGGTTTTTATTTTTTTTATACATGCAGCCTCTAAGTATTTGATTAGTTTTTTTAGCTTTTCTTTTGTTTTTGTACTTTGTCGTCATTCACATGAATATATTACAACAGCAGCTCTGCTTTATTTATTTATTTTTTTACGTGTTTCTCTGCTTTTCACTCTTTCAATGCTCTTCCCATTTTAATGCAGGGTGTTTGGAGTAAATATCATATACACATGCACATTCTCTTTATTCACTCTTACTCCAACATAGTATTCTGCTATGTTACTTCCTATCCACAACCAAGCTTTATATGTCAGTTGCAAGAGCCAGAAGTGGCTGGAGGAATTTATGGAGTTGCCGCCTTTATTGATGGCTAGAGGACTTTCCCTCTGTGTCAAAGGAAAGATGGATGCAACTGGCGTGAGAAGTGTGATGTTATATGGCTGTGAAACATGGGACAGTTTACAGAGGATGACATACACAGGCTTGAGCGAGCTGAATGGTGAGACATATTTGTAATGTGACGCTGAAAGATAGGAAACGTGTTCAGAGCTAAGAGCGTGGCTGGGTATTGAGAGATTTGGTGAGGTCTTGTGCAGAGGTAGACTGAGATGATCTGTGCATGTGGAAAGAATGGATGAAACTAACTGGTTCAAGTGATATATAAGTCTGAATGTGAAGGGAAGGATAACCAGGTGTAGGCCAAGAATGACATGGGGAGAGGTTGTGAGAAATGACCTCAAGAGTAAAGAACCAGATGAGTGAGGCTGCAAGAAACCACACGGCGTATAGAGCTGCCATCAGGTCATCACGGCTAACCCACTAAAGCTTGGAAAATGGCCATGAAACAATGATGATGATGATGATGATGTTAACCCCTGTTGCTTCACACAGGTCAAACATCACCTGTCAGCAGCACAACATTCCCCTGATGCTACGCTGTCCCCACATTCATATACACTGCTATTTTCTGAACATCCATCTCCTTACTTCTGTTGTATCGTTCATCTTGGCCCCTCCTTTCCTTTCTGTATTTTTACTTTTGTAGCTTAAAAAAAAAGAAGAACAAATTTAGAGTAATTTGTGTCTATATGAATATCCCTCATAATGATTCAATTCAGGTATTTTATTTGTTTGTTAGTGCAAGGAACATTTTATTGGTGTATGGTTGAATGAGAAACTATAAAAGCCTTGAAGTATAAAGTAAACTTGAAACAGTCAAATTATGTAGGATATTCTTCTCTTTAAATTCTAGTCAATAATTGTGTTGCTTTTTTTTTTTTTGTCTACTTTTACACAGGATATGTTTGAGCCCTATCTGAAGAGCTTCTTTGTACGTTCTAGTGACCCAACGCACATCAAAGCACTCAAGTTGGAGGTTGGTATAAATTGTTACTTATCCGTGTGTGTGTGTGCGCTTTTTCTTCATTTTCATTTACCGGTAAGCTTTATCGTGTGTTTGGTCCATATTTTACCCCATAGGAATGTATCTTTAGTTATATACAGTAATGTTGTTTATCAGTAAATAGGTTCCTGTATCTATAAAATAAAGAGGGGTGAACCTGTAAATTTTTGGGAACTAATTTAATGTTTTATCAGCCAAGCTCTAACAAAAGTTGCCCCCAGGGATGTGCAAAGCTTGTTAGGTTTACATAGAAGTGTTGAGGAGGTGTGATGTTTGGGGGGGAATACAGTATTGTTTATCACTTTATAGGTACTGACCAACTTAGCCACGGACACCAATATTTCTGTCATCCTGCGGGAGTTCCAGACATACATAGGGTCTTCAGATAAGGAATTTGTGGCTGCAACCATCCAGGCTATTGGGAGGTAAGTTTGTGTTATTCCTTCAGTTTACAGCCAGGGTCTAAAGTTCGCTCCCTCCCTCCCACACTGAAGCGGCATTGACCTGAAACGAGATAAAACAGCACACCAGATGACAGTCAGGGTTCAGAGACTCATTCCCGTGACTCGGTTTCATCGTGGGGGGTGAACTTTTGTCCATCTCCGTACAGTAATACAGTATATCACATGACAAATATTTTACAGCATCTCACACATGTCTTAAGTAATTTGCTTTGAATGTAATGTAAATGTTTAAGGGAATGTCACAAGAGGTAAAGTGAAAGGATGTCAATAAATGAAAGGAGAGTTTGCATTTGCTCTTGGTTCTGGTGACCCTGCAGTATGTTGTAGTAGTGAAGTGCATTGTATAATTATGATAAAGTTACTGGCTCTGTGTATGTTACAGGTGAGTGACCGTGTAGTTCATAGTGAAGTCTCCCGATAGAGCCCGCCCAACCCTTGACTCTATCATGGATATCATTACAGAAACGCCTAGAATATATATGCTCCTTGTTTCTCTGTTGTTAATAGTAATGATTAGGATAGTTCTTGTCGTAGCATTTAAGGAGACGAAATGATGCTAAGCTCAAGATAAGGCGTAAATAATACTTTCTTTAAACCCTTGTCTGTTCTAGAAGTATTGCTTGAATTATATATATAAAGTCAGACTTCATACTGTATACAGAAATAAAAAGCTTCCTTGTTATGGAGCTGCTTAGTTTATATCTCATCAGGGATAAAAAAATGCAGAAAACAAGACACAATAGGAATGATGGTGGCAGTGTCAGCTTTGGGTCTGCTTAATAGTATTGGTCTGTATCTCAAGAAACCATAGACGAGACACTTTCAAGGAGTCACAGTTCAATTTTTCTGTTTATTGGAAATACTTCAATAAATAAATTGGTATTACTTTGGGGAAATTCTTTGTGTTCCCAGCTGCTTTTGGTGTTATTAAACTTCTTACTACAAGATTAATGAAAAGAGAAGAAAATAAGAAACTGCTGCTCAAGTCTCTTTGTACAGTCCATTGCATTTGGTGTGTGTGAACTTGCTTATGTGTCTGAGATAAACCTGTATACACATGTTTCCCTGTGCAGTATGAAGAAATAAAATATACACTGTACATAACATTTAGCAGAGGTTGCCGTACAAGTCAAAATATAGTTCAGTTTCATCACGTATGTAAATATAAAAGTTAATACTGTACTGTAGAACAAATAATTTTCTTTTGAATCAGACCATCAGGAGGTTTTAATGGTAAGTTGTTGACCATAGTGGAAGTTAAGACAGACTCTGCCATCAAGAGTTGACATTTGTATTCTAGATGGAGTAACATGTATACGTTAAATGTTTATACTTTCATCTTCAGGTGTGCCTCCAACATCAGAGAGGTGACTGATACATGTCTCAGTGGTCTGGTCTCCCTCTTATCAAACCGCGATGGTAAGTCACTACAGTACTACCACAATACTTAAAACAGTTTACCTCTTCTATTTGTAAGATCATGGAAAAGATTTGACTTAGATCTTGCCCTATTACTGTACCAGCGGAGGATCCTCGCCTGTGGGTACTCCAGAGCAGGATGTATTTGTTTAGGCTTGTTAGAAGGATTTATTTTTTATTTATTTTATTTTATTTATATACATATAATGAACTGAACTGTTCCACTCATTATTACATGTGTATATAGGAACAGTACTGTACTGTTAATCATTTACAGTGTTTTATATAAACTTTACATATGTACACTACAATCTTATGTACTACACCTGTATGAATATATGTTACACATTCTGCATTCGATGATGGAGCAGCCTCTCAGGGCCTGTATAATAATAAAAGAACAAAGTGTACAGTATATTAAATTAAAATATATCTGGTAACTAATGTGTACCTTCCTTGGTGGGGCTCCATACAGACACATTGGTAGTTTCTCATTCAGGAAGATTGAAGAGAATTTCACTTATTGGATTTTCATACTCTAAAACACTGAGGTCATTACACCCAAGTCCTGTCAACTGGTTACTCATTAAGTACGGCATTATGGTGTGTGTGTGGTACGAGTTCAAACTGTTCCTGCTATCATTTAGTGCAACCATTTGTTCTCTTCATTATAATGTGAATATCGATTTCTTTACATTTGTTGTGGCAGGCTGTACTGTATATGGTTATTACTCTACTCACAGAATCTGTTGTGGGCGAGAGCGTCGTTGTCATCCGTAAGCTTCTGCAGAGTGAGACGGTGGGGCACAAGGATATAATCAGCCACATGGCCCGCTTGATGGACAATATAAAGATCCCCATGGCTAGGGCCAGTATTCTGTGGCTGCTTGGGGAATATTGTGACAAAGTTCCTAAGATTGCTCCAGATGTACTTCGTAAAATGGCCAAAACTTTTATATCCGAGGTGACTTGGGAGTGATGTATTACTGTACTGTTATACATGTGGCATAACCTTTGCTTCACCCAGTTATATAACAGAAGATAATTACTATTTTCTTTACTACTATTCAAGTTCTTTGTGATTTGCTTTAAGTGACAGACATAATAAGTCTTTAATATCTCTGTAAAATGAAAAGACAAAGGGTAAGATGATGATGGGAAACTCATAATTGCTATGTATAATCCTTAATTTAGCTCCATTCAGACTAACATTGACACTGTAGGAACTTGTTATAAAGTTGTCCTTCAAAACATTTAGGAATTTCAAGAACTTAGTAATACATTAACTACTGTGTCTTTACAGGATGACATTGTGAAGCTGCAGATCTTGACTTTAGCAACAAAACTCTACTTAACCAACCCCAAGCAAACTCGCCTTCTCTGCCAGTACGTGTATAATCTGGCGAAGTACGACACAAACTACGACATACGAGATCGTGCACGTCTCACACGAGCTTTGGTTTTCCCATCTCAAGGTCACGAGGATAATAAGCTTGCAAAACATGCTAAGAAAATATTCCTAGCCACCAAGCCACCACCAGTCCAACAGTCTAGTTTCAAAGGTATTTACAATATCAGTATTCATTTTATTCCCTGAATTTTAAGTTTGTGTCAGTATTACAGTTTTGTTGCTCTCCGTTCATCACTTCATGTCAAATGTGTTTTCTCTTTGATATCTGCTGTACATTGACTGAATGATGTAATTTCTGTTTGGGTTAATTAAAAATATTATAATAGATTCTTGCCTTGGATTCTTGGAGCATGTTGTTGACCCATAGAGTTACACTACACCTGTTTATATCTCTTGAGGATATATTCCCAGTGACTTGTTTACACAGTCATATTGACATTATATAAAATTAGTTTCTTTGGGTTAAATTTAGGGACTACTGAGAATAAATGCTCCATAGATATTGGGTATTCTCTATGGCGACCATGAGGGCAAAAAGATGCTGAAATTGACCTGTCCAGCACCATTAATTTGGAAATGGAGCAATAATAATGGCAACATAAGTATGATCCAATATGGCAAGCCTTTGAATAATTTTGATATCTTTTCCACTGGACCAGGGAAAGACTGCGCCATATTTTAACTTCCATTCAGTTCCATTTAAATTTGGTAGTTACTTATATTGTTTTATTCGCTTCATTGTTCAGTTCTTCTTTACGCAGCATAATTCTTACTTTCAGATCGCGACCAGTTCCAGCTCAGCACTCTATCCCATCTCATCAATGCACGAGCCACTGGTTATCAAGACTTACCTCCTTTCCCCGAAGAGGCACCTGACCCTACTGTACGTTACGTGGAGCTTCCTGCATCATTCACCCCCGAGAACCACCATAAACCTTCACACCCGAAGAAGAGCAAACCACAGAAGATGAAGTCATTTTATTCTGATGAAAGTTCCCCTGAGGATGAGAGTGAAGATGATGCAAGTGACAGTAGCAGTGATAGTGACAGTGATAGTGATAGCAGTGACAGTGACAGTTCAGAGAGCAGCAGTGATGAAGATAATGAATCAGACAGTGAGGAGGAGGAAGAAGAGGAGCCGAGGTTCAAGAGGAAAGTGAGCGGTGGCAGTAGTAAGAAACGTCCCGAAAAACACGGCGTTTCACAGTCATCGGGCAGTGAAGATACGGACTCTTCCTCCTCCTCATCATCATCGGGGAGCGAGTCGTCGAGCGATGAGGAAGCAGAAAACTCCGAAGATTCTGACGAAGACGTAAAGAAAAAGAAGAAAAGTGACAGGGAGCAAAGAAATTCAGTGCCACAAGGAAGAGGTAATCGTAGTAATTTAGACCTCCTCCTGGATCTGGACGACACACCTCCTGCCATGGACACCCCACTGCTCACTCCTTCCCTCGGTGGTCTGTTGACACCCTCACCATCATCCCAACCATCTCAGCCACTTCCTCCTGGAGCTTCAATTCAACCTGCTTCTGCCAAGTTTGTACCCACAGTTACTCAGGAGTTGCTGAATAGAATTAGTGGCGGAGGTCTGGCCGTGGCCTGCCGGTTTACGCGCTCTCCGCATCTCTATTCCCCCCGTATGACGTCGGTTGAACTCTCATTCACAAATAACGGAAGTGAAGAAATTCGTGATATTAGTGTTGGAAGTAAGAAGCTTGCGCCAGGAATGGCTCTCCATGAATTTGCTGGTATTGCTGTCTTAAGCCCTGACACCACCCTGAATGGAACCATTGGTGTAGACTTCAATGACACCACTCAACCAGCAATGTTTGACCTGGTAGTAGGCGGCCGAACATTCAGCATTAATATCACAGCGCCAATTGGAGAACTGCTGATGCCTTTAGCAATGAATGAAGGTGATTTCAATTTAAATCAGGTAAGTGTTGTTTTATTTAATCTTATAATTTAAACTCATATCTTGGATGTATAAAAACAGAATCATCCATCTGTCCTATCTAGAGGTACAGTAGTCTTTTGTAGATGAAAGGGATGTGTTCTGAGGAAGTCATGTGTAATGCAAAAATTTAGCTACATTATGAAAGCTATGGAAGATACAGCCTTGGGACTGACACTCAATGACACAGCATAAACTAATACAAATAACATATCAATAATCAGTACAGGAAATAACTAAATAGTTGATTTAATGAATACTCACCATAAATACATTAAAACAATAAAAAATAAAGTAGTGATCATAGTGGGGGGGGTTTACTGTGTCAGAGGCAGGACTCTTTGCATCTTTGTTTGAAGTTGGTGAACGAGTTTCATGCTTGCCTATGATTGGTTACTGAGCTTCTGAAGTTTGTTTACTAGTTGAAGGAGGTCCCTGGGAGGAAGTAAATGAAGTACAAGACTTGAAGGAGGCATGAAGAGAAGTTCAGGCAGCTCTCTTCTTCCTCCTCTCATATAATTCTCTGTAGCAACACACTCTATCTTCCAGTACACTACCAGAATTCATGTCTTCCTTCATTATTACTTCTGCTTCTCTTCAAATTTTTGCTAATCTTTTGGCCATAAATTGCTTTGAGGTTGGTGTGGAATTTTCAGCCTCTTCTTGTCACTCTATCCTTGTTATGCAGACTTTCCCTTTTGATACTCCAGCAGCTCCACCACATTATCAAGGTCCTCTTGTTTGAGCCCAGCCTTCCCTGCCAGTCTGCTGCTGAACATTAGATACATTGGTAAAGCCACCAAAATCATGTACACTAAGGCCACAGCTTCCTCCATGTGGCAAAAGACATTGTTCACAACCTTTTTAGTTGTGTAACCCTTCCAAAACTCCCTTATTGTTGGCTTATCCTCCCTGTCTCTCTTGCATATCAGCTGCACCATTGTCACAGGTAGAAAATCTTGAATGTTGCAAATACTCCTTTGGTTGCATCAATGATGTTGTGTTTGCATATAAGGCATACAAGGATTTTCTCTTTATTTAAGAATTAAAACAAACATTCAGTTTGGTTTGTGTGAGTTTGTGGAAGCAAATATTGAAGTAGTTTCCTGGTAGGTCTGGGATAACAGGGATGACCTTCAGGAAACCGGAAAAATCCCCCAAACTTCGATTTTGGTCCCAAAGGTTTCCAAGGTTGTGAAAAATGCACAAAACATGTTACATCCTTTATTAAATGTAGAAATACAGGTGCTCACAGGTACATAGTGGTCCAACATGGTGTATGAGATGCCTTGGTAGTGAGGAAGTAGAATGAAGTTATAATTTCATGGCTGAGGACTGAGTTAAATAAACCATATCTGTGGTTTTTCCTATTTTTTCCTTTGGTTCATTGGCTTTTTGAAGTACAGGTGTATCAAGGCTTCCTTCATAAACCTAGACTCAGTTAGAGTGAATGGCTGTTTATGCAGCAAGTTACACTGGTCTGATGACAGTATAATGCCTCTTTTTCACAGTGTACTGTTAGCTTCGTGGACACAGTAGGATGTGCCAGAAGATAGACTGATAGAGTTATATTTTAGCTCACTTTTCTCTTCCCTTCAGCCATAAAATGTATTTCAGGTCTCTCTCTCTCCCTCCCTCCCTCCACTAATGATCTCAATGTTGTAGATTAAACTGCGAGGGATGAATGAACAGTGCGGTGTGGTGAGTCTCTCCAGCGGCAACAAGGATATCAAGAGCCTCGTCAACCGGGTTTATGAAACTGCTAATCTTCTCCAAGTTCAGTGTTCCAGTAATGACATTGTAAAGTAAGTGTTGTTTTTTTTTCTTTCTATTAATTATTTACTTTTGTTTTTAAGGATTTTCTTTTAAAGGCAGCAAGTGACTGATCATTCTAATTAACTTTTTTATTTATATAACTTTGATTGACAGGTTTGGTGGCCAGACTGCATCAGGGAAGGCGCTGGTACTGGTGTCCCTCTCCCTCCCACAAGATGAACAAGAATCTACCATTTCTGTCAACTGTGAAAAAATGGTTATATCTTCAATGCTTCTCAAAGAAATTAAGTCTGCCTTAAAGAGAGATTGATTGATTTCAACAACTATAAAGAGTTATTAATATTTGACAACAGAGTGATTAATTATAATTTTAGGAGATGGCCCTATACAAATTGGCTGTATTAATGAAATGAATGGTTCATTTTTACCAATGTTGATAGTATAAACTCAACTTCTGATGTATTATGATTTAGCACCCTATGATAAAAGACTAGATGATTCCCGGTAGTTCTGTAATTTCACCTCGGGTGCTGTAGCATGCATTCAGAAAATATATAAAAGTCTGTTGTGGCTTATATACAGGTTGGCTTGACCATCAGTGGTGCTATATCAAGTATTGTAAGGTTCCCCAGGGAGTTGTATATACAGTACTGTACTGTATAGTGAAAGATTGAAGATAGTATGAGGATAGTAATCTACACAGCTGAATTTTTATTGTTTTAAATGTTAAAGCTTTATGTTGTTCCAGTTTGTATCTTTTATTTCAACATCAGTATATTAGATCCCATCATTTATGACAATTTTGTGTCTGCAACCTGTCAATGTATTCCAGCTCTTGGGTGTTTAAATGTCACTTATTTACAGCTTAAATACAACAGTAGTGTACAGTTGGGTGACACAGTACTATACTTAAAATGTTGGGTCAACTATTTCTGATGGCAGTGTTTGGCTGCTGAAGTTATATATGTTTATGTATACAGTATGTATATATTGTCAAGAATGTATATTTAAAATTTGTTGAAAATCAGTAACATTTCATTTTCGAGTCTGCTCACACAGTACATATATATAAAACCTGTATATAGAACATTTATTTTTCAAACATATACTGTACATCACTACAGTATGTTGGCTTCTGTCATATTACATAAATATTACCAGAGGTGTTTGCTAAGGTCCAAAAATTTAATTGTTCTAATTGTATCAGTGGTTTCTTCATCATCAGTCATAGGATGTAGCCAAATTTTGGAGTTTTTAACCCTTATGCCCCTGGTGACGTATCAAGACGCCCCGGGTGATGTTCCAGAATGAGCACCTTTTCCCACCACTGTTTAAATGCCCAGCGCGGGTTATGAGGTTTCAGTGTGACTATTTAACCTGTCACGTCACACACTCGGCCGGAGGGAAGCTTCCTGAACGTAATTACCTACTTTTGTTCGTTTCTTTTCATTGTTTGTCCATTTATCATGTTATACCAAAGTAATATTGCTAAAAGTAGTGTAGTTGTATTGTAGTGTAGTATTACTGGAAAATAATGCTATGATTATGTTATAAATGTACTTATTTGTGGAATTATTATTATTTTGTGCGTAGGTGACCACTAGGCTCGCCCTCATAACAAGCTGTCCCCTCATCTCCCTCCCTCCCCCCTTGCTGCCAGGAAAGTTGCTACAGGGTCAATATATAGTTGTTCTTGCTTCTTTTTTATGTTTTATCATTTAAAAGGGTTAGAAATTATTTTGGGAAAAGTTGATATTTCTCGATTTACCCCCGGGTGGGGGGGCACCCTAACCTGGGGCTTAAGGGTTAATATATTCTCTGTTTTATAGTTTTAACTCTAGCTCTATAACTATACCTGAAAATTTGTGAAGTGGGCACATCTGAGTAAATGGAGGAGGGTTACAACACTGGCCATGAGGCATTTTTTAAAAGGGGGCGTCAGTTACAGTCATTGATCGATGAAGGCCCTGGCCTCTGTGTAACATATATAAGAAAGAAATAAGGCTGCCTCAGGAATTACAATAAGAAAAGCTTGATATTTCAAAAGATAGGAAACAGAAGCTTAAATATGTTGATTACCAAGATTGAAACATAACAGAAGAAGAAGAAGAAGAAGAAGAAAGAATTGAGACATGTTTAAGTATAGGCCCAGTGTGTGGCTGAAGAGAGAACCTCTATTAATGGGAGGGGGAGAGTTCCTGTATGTCACTTATATTGTTAATTTAGACAACCAAGACAGATTAATGTACTACTTTTAATTATCTTCCTTAATTTCTTTTTATGCTGTCAATCTCTATATTACATTAAAGTATTTACAAAGAAAAATAGTAAACTGCTATTTTCTGATCTTTGGAATAGCAATCTCACTTAATGTGTGTGTGATGTTTTTCTTACATATTTCTGTTATTAAGCCTCTATAGTTGGGAACTAATCAATGGCATGATAATTTAGAATTGTATATTTTTGGTGTGTTGGAATACTGTTTGAAAGAATATAGTTTTACACGGCAGTAGGTCAGTAGCTCTCTTGGTAAATTACTGTACAGCAGTGAGAGAGAATGTGTGCCTTCAAATGAAGAGTCTTAAGTTGTTCTGGATTCTAGTCCCATTGTCTCTGTTATGTTCACCTTATCCAAATCAGAGTGTCTAAGTCTATGTTCAGGTTCTTAAAAACAGACAAGATCCTCATCTAAGTACTGAATTGTACTCAAGGCTCAGAATGCAAATCTTTTTATTGCAAGTTACAAAATGTAGTGCAAGAATTTGCCATCGGTGTATAACAAAACATGAATGTACAGGCACACCTCTTAAAAAACTTTTTCGTTATAACATTTATTGTTCTGTATATATCTATATAAACACCAAGCAACAAGTTTGTCATTTCTCAGAGCTGTGTGCTCATTGGATGAATGTGGCATACACTGATTACTGTTCAGCCAATCATCATCCAGTTTTGTCTTGTTTTGAACTTCTCCAACAGCTGTGTGTTAACTTCACTGTGGTACTGTAGTAACTTATCTTATTTTTTACCCATAATGTTTAGGAAAAGGCCAGCAAGTGCTATTGCTGGTTATGTGGCGAAGCAACCAGGGAAAATAATTAGTATGGATGTAAAAGTACAGGTCATAACATAACACTTGTTGAGGTGGCTGAGTGAGCACCAGGTTGGTAGTGGTAGTACTGTACTGTAGTTTGGGTTTGGATGTGTCAACCATGAGAACCATTCTCAAGAATCCACCGCTTCATCGAGCAACAACCAAGAACATTGTGCTGGAGAAGATGGAGAGCCAGTTGTAGGAGCTATAGCAGATAGTCTTACATAAGCTCTGACTGAATGAACTGGTGAGTTTGTAACTTATTGTATTTGTGTCCATTATCATTAGAAATTATCATCTTTAATTATGAAATATTTTGATAAATTTATTGTGTACAATATCATTGTTAGCGCTAGTACCAGACTCAATGAAGCCCTCACATAAGAATTAGCTGTCACAAACACATCTCTATTGGAGCTATGTTATGCTTATGTCTTATTGAACTCTTCCTTATAGCACTCTGTCTTCCAGGAATGCATCTAGTGCTATAAGAGATAAGCATGCATAAAATAAGACTAGTGAGGTATTATAAAGCATCATAACTGGTCATTGTTGTAGTTACAGTAATTTATTGAACATCTTTTTCATTTTTAAATCTGTGCTTGATACCTGTGGTAACTTAACCATCAGATGGGTTGATGCAGCACTTTTACTGTACATCAGAGGAGCTAGAACCTTTGATTAATTATTTGTCAAACAACTGTTGGATTTTAAAACATAACATTTAGGTAGTGATTTTATTTATAGTAGCTGCTTATGGAATTCATTTGCATACAGTCACCATTCTTATAAGAAGTACTGGTAATAATTTATATATACAGTACATATTATTGTCAGGGTAGAAGGTAGAAACTGTCTTTATAGATGAGTAAATGATGGCAGGAGAGAGTGAAGAGTTAAGGTACCAGGCACAGGAGGTGACAGCTTCCCATACATTAGAAGGATGGTAGCTTCCTCTACACCATATACAAGGATCTCTGCTTGTGTATACCAGTTAATATGCCCAGGATTACTCCTCATACGTTCAAGATGCAAGACATACAGTAAAGGGAGCCTGTAATATTAAGAAGTAATGATGATAACTTTCACTATACAGTAGACTCCAGATCTAGAAAGATTTCAAACTACACTCGTGGAGCAAGGACTCCCAAGTGAGTGTTATATCCCTCCTCAACAATTCAGTAACTACACACACTACTTTTGAAGATGCTCCGTGTCATCCCCAACAACTTTTACTTCTCTTAAATTTGGCCGATTCCAAGGAAGCTTTTCAGACGTATACATAATCAAAAAGTATCTGTGCACACTTCGACAAAAATAATCTGACACCATAGACGTTGGATGCTGCAAAATGCCATATACAGTATATCGCTGTCGCCACATTTCCTGTTTCGCACAGCTACGATAAAAAAATAGATTAATCTTGCAAACATTGTGTAGCTTGGCTCATATTGGTGGTTACATTGCATCATAGGTGTATTGATCATGTAGGAAATCACTGGACCCAATATGCTAGATACTCTATTATTGTGTGTAGATCATACCATCAAAGTAGAGTACTGTGTAAAGAATTCACCTTCAACCTGAGCAGAGTGCACCAGGACACACAATGGATGTGTCACAGTACCTCTCATGGATCATCGACCCTGATGAAGGCTCATCTTTCAGAGTTAACTTGCCTCTGAAGGATCCTTGATATCCTTAACAATCCAGCATTTATGAGGATGAGAAAATGACTAGCAAGCTCAAGCGGAAGAAGAAACAGTCACAAGCATTCTTCAACTGACAAACTACACGCAGTTTGCTTCCATTTATGAAGGTTTGTATGACATTGTAGTTTCCAACAGCAATGCACAGCAAACTGCCAGTCACCTGAAACCTAATGTTTCTAGTGGATGAAAATTTAAAGACTCAAAGTTAACTTGTAATCTGTCAGTCTGATTCCATGATGGCTGACCCACAAGATTATTTCTTTTGCAAAACTGAAACCGTCTTCAACCAAGACTCCTGTATGGATTTCATGTTTACAATAGAAAGTGAGGCATAATTTAAAGATGCACTGAACACCATGTTACCTGTGAATGTTGTGTCTTGACAGAAAATTCCTTTTTGGCAGGTTAAAGGACATTATATTTTGAGTCTGGCTTTGCTAATGATGACCAATTCCTCCTGTAATGTTGTTCAAGAGCCCTTACTGCAAGCTAATGTCAGCCTTTAGGCCTGCCATGATTGGGTCTCATTCGCTGCAGTCACACTAATGAAGCCTTTCTTATATGCTCAGCATATTGTAGTGTAGTTTGAGACTCTGGCCAACTTGACAATATGGCAGAAAGTCACAAATCTCTAAGGCCATAAAATGTAAAGAATCTGGGAAGAATTTACCTTACATGGAGTTCATAAGGGAGGAAGAGCTGGTTCTGTTTACATACAGGTTCTGAAGTTTTCAGCTGAGTAGGATTTCAAAGAAATTGATTTGGAGTATTGCAACACTGTCTCTTACTGGAAAAGGGCTTGCAAGAGTATTAAAAACACAGAGGTCGGAAAAAGAGTAACATAAGTGCCTAAGTGCTTTTTATGTATCAATTAAATTATTGCTCATGATCAGAAGCAGTGGTAAATAATACAGTATTTAACTCCAACACGTCCTGTTCACTCGCTCTTACTGCTATACCAGATGTATTCTGCTATGGTGTTCACCCTCCACAACAAGGCCCCAAGATGTCTACCAATATCTGGCTTATCCGTGTTGTTTCATGCAATGTAGCATCACCCATTGGCTGCTCTTAAGTACTGTACAATATAAAAGAATTTAACTCAGTACTGTAATATGAAGTCGCTCCAAATAGTAATAGTACTGTACCTTATCATATTACAGGTTGACAATCCCTTATCAAAAATCCATGGGGTCAGATGCATTTCGGATTTTGGAATTTTTTTGGATTTAAGAATGGTTAGGTTTTTAATGGAACAGCCCACCCGGGCACAGCTCACTGAACCATATTAGATATAATAATAATTATAATAATAGTAATAATAATAATTCATAGGTCTAGGCTGTTTCTCACTTTTGATCTTTTTTTTCATTCTTGTATTTCTTTATTATTATTATTATTTTATTATTAAGATTATTGTTATTATTATTAATTTTATTATTATTATTTTATTATTATTATTATTATTATTATTATTATTTAATTTTTGTGTATTTTTAATTATAAATTTTATTTACTGTGAATAATTATTATTATTATAATTATTATTACATTTTAGACCCCCAGGCCCCAATGTGGGTCAGTGACCTGTGCCCGGGTGGGCTAATCTCTGTTTTTAAAAAAAAAAAAGTTTTGTTCCACAAAAAACTTTAGGTTTTCAGAGGTTTCCGGTTAAGGGGTTGCCAACCTGTCCCATTAAATATTGACTTTTTTCACTGTCGCTAATTAATGTTAAAGCTGCATAAAGCCACTTCAGTACTTTTTATCAGAACTCCTGAAGAAGGTTAAGTAGCACACACCTCCCAGAATGGTGAGTCTGGAAGTATATTGGTTTATTTCATTGTCTTCATCAAGATTTCCTTAAGATCATTTGTTGCACTAATACATGGCTTCAGTTTTATTTATGTGAAATTATGTGTGCACAAAAGTTCAATTTATATGTTATTATTCCATTATGAATAAAATTCTCTATAAACTGTCTTAATGTCTTACCTTAACCCTTTCTGTCCTGGCCTCAGTTGTAGGGTACACTCAAAGGCAGACTCTTGATCAATTATTTCAGTGTTGGATTCTTTTTTATTCTATGAGACTACTGTACCGTCCTCTGAAACTTAAATTGACAGCTTATTTGTTTTACCGCCAGAGTGAATGAACTGATCCATTAACTACAAAAATCCAAACCTATTTTCTTTTCAATATTCATAATACTACAGGTAAACATCGATTTATGATCTCTCTATTTCCGATATTTCGCTTTAACGATGGTGATGTTTTAAGATAGCCTCCCCATATACAATAAAAAAAAAATCGCATTTACGATGGCCAACCTTGCTGACACACGGAATATGGAATGCATCTCTCGCTGCACTTGTCAGCCGCAGCATCATTTACCCGTAAGGCCGTCTCCTCGCAGACACCCAGTGCACTACAGTCCCGGTTTTGTTCCATGGTGATGCATCTGCCCACGATCATGTGACTCAACGATTATGAGTCCAGATTGTAACTTGATTTTTTTACTTTTGGTGACTGTGATTGTGAAGTGATTTTTTTGTACAGTATTTTGTGGTTTTAATTATTATTTTTCCTTACAGTGAGAGGACATCACTAACATTCAGATTGTGCAGTACTTCTCATTTTTTGTGATTCTGAACTGTTTTTGCCCTGTTTTTGTGACTGAAGTGAGCAGTGTAACTTTGAAAATGTCTAGCAAACATGTTGCTGAGGCTCCTGCAAATGGAAAGGCCAAGATGCCCAGGAAAACCGTGATTCTCTGGAGGTGAAGCTTAACATTGTGAAGTGACCAGGCTTATTCTTAATGATGTGGTGAGTGTTTATTTTTTATTTCTTTATTTGTGTAGAAATTTTTTTCGGTGATTCGTGTACCGGTATGTGTCAGACTGGCTGGGAAAGTATCCCATTGAACCCCATGTTATAATGAGCTCGATTTACGATATTTTTATTTGTGATGGGGTTTCTAGGGATGTAACCCCATCATAAATGAAGGTTTACCTGTACTTACACAGTACTTACTGCTTGCATGAAGCGGGATGAAGTAAAATTACCTTGCACAGTATTTCAAAATAATGTATTACTAAAAATGGAAAAAAAATTATTGTAGTATAAAGGTAGTAAAATGGGACACAATACTGTACTGTAGAATAGAACAGTATTGGGCAACCTGTGGCCCATCAGGCTTCTGAGTGTAGCCCATGAGACATAATGTTTGATCATCGTTAACATGCATGAAATAATCAGACTTCAAGAAGTGCACTGATTTGACCACTATCAAATTTTGGGCAATTATAAAGTACTTTTGTAATTTGGTGGGATTTATAACATCATCATTTAATATTAATACATCACTGAAAAGTTTAAATGATTTAACTGAATCCCATAAATTTTTTAGATTCACAAATAAAGTGGGCGTATTTTATTTTGTTATATGGCAACACTTCATAACAACTCAAGTGTTCTATTGCTGATGGTTGTATTTACTTATGATACATTGTAAGGTAATCGTAAATACTATACTACAGTACATGTTGAACACCGCCCCCTCCTGCCCAACTCATCTTCAGGTGTTATAATATGGAAGGCGGTGAATTGAAAGTAACTTTACTTGTTTCTTTTGCTCTTATTATTTAAAATTTCTTACACTTCTATTAATAAAATTTTTCTATAACTCATGAAACATTCAGCTTGTGTAAATGTACAGTATTTATGGTTATTTATTTGTGGGTCATGGTTAATGCACATGTCAATCTTGTGACTCACTGAGTTGATGGAGGGCCACCTATTGCCCCTCACTGCTGTTCTGTACTGGGTGTAAGAATACAGGTATTTCACAAATAACCAAGTGGACTTGTCTAAGACAAAATTAGTGAATAGAATCACTAAAGGGAAAAAGGAATGAGTATGGAAACTTGAACTATTTAATTTTCATGCTATAAATATGTTACATAAGTTGTACCTTCAAAATAAAGGTAGAAAAGTGGAACTTAATCCCAAACAACAATATTTTAAAGGTGAAATATTTCCTTAACTTAAAAACTAAAGGTAATATTAATACAGCAGACAAACCTTGTAATAATAGCCTAAACTAGAACATAAGAGCAACATAAGAAATAAGCAAGAGAACTTTAAATCAATGAAACAATATGGATTAAAACCGTAAGATTTAAGCACCCAGTCAAAGGCCTCATTAGCACCTACAGTCTCTTCACAATAAGGTATACAATATCTTTTAGGGTAATTTAGAAACCTTAAAAGTAGTCACAACCATCATTAATTACCTCCTTGCTGCATTTCTTTTATCTAAAGATTTGCAATTGCAACTTAACACAAAACACCTCCAAGCAGTTGTGGTTGACTAATCCTTTATGGCCAACTGTACTCCTAAGCAAATAAATGTAATATTAGCATTGGGATTCTTCCTATGTGTAACAGATGCACTTGGTACCATTTGTATGTGTGAACCTGTTGCTCTGCCATCCTGTCTCAGACTAGATAACTTTCTTAATCACAATGATGCCAGAGCTGTTACAAAGTACATATACATTCCTGAAGCAAATTCAATATATAATCTCTCATGACTATACATATCCTTAACACACACACATAACTGATGGCTGTTTCACACCAAGAGCAGCCTTATAATCATATAAGCTACATGTCTTTGTTGAGGTGGTTTTAAATTAGGTAACTCACACTGGCAGTGATGCTACATATGCCAAGCACCAGTGTGAGTTGCCTAATTTAAAACCACTGCAGCAATTCCAAGACATAGCACAGCTAATATAGCTTTTGGTCTGAGACAGCCTTGAGGACTCTCTAAACTGAGGTATTCACCCACAGTCTATTCAGTACCTCAGGTTTCTCTCCAGTTCTTAATATTTCCTGTCCAACAAACACTCCATGTCAAGACTATTAGTATTTACTGCCTCAATCCAATGTCATCAAATTAGATTTTTTTTTTTGTAAATTTTACAAGAGTCACATAAACTACTATGATACCCTGAACAGGTTTAATTCCAAATATTTTACCATTTTTACTTTATGTAGTTACACAAAATTTTCTTCAGTAACACACTTGAAATATGGTGGAATTCCCTAGTCTCACCTTTTTAAATATTTCTAATTTTCCAATTCCTTCTTTTTTCTATTTTGACCCAGTTGGTGAATACATGCACAATGTTTAATATTAGTTGAGACAGACTTAAATTTCATTGTAAAGTTAACATACTCATTTTCTTGTCAATCTAATTTTTTGACAATGATCATCTCAGATTCATCCTACATTCAAAGCGTGGATAGTGAATAAATCTTACCGTTTCTTTTTTAAATACTAAAGACTGCAACAACACTTGGAATAATTACTTAAGAATTCTACATGATGGCCTGTCTGTTACACTGTGTGAAGCAGTCTCCACTGCTGACACTTCAAAATAACAATGTGTGGCATAAGTGGGAGTTGCTTTACTAAATATTAACATCCAGGAAATAAGATGAAGTAGTTAAAAGTATATTAGAAAAGAAAACAACACAAAAATGGGGAAAATAATAAACACTCTAAAAGATAAATGTAGAGAAAAGTGGCAGACCACCAAGCCCTGGTGGAGAGTGAGTGGCCAACCAAGTGGAGGAATGGGTAGACTTACTCCTATCCTCCCATGGTAGACATTTTTGGGTGAATGAATGAGGCCAGCCAATCTACCTAAATATTTTGTTCTTATCTCTATAACCGACTTTTACAATATGGTTTGGTGGAGAGATAAAATATCTAACCAGCTACATAACATTAAAACTTTAACTCGGCATCCAAGTTACTCCATCGTAATGGAGTATCTTATGCATTCGTTCAATGTGGTGAATTACAGTTGGTATCTTTTTCAGTATCTGACATAGATATTGCTTCATAAATATCATTTTTGTCAAGATTCATACAACTGATAGTAAATGAGCAGATCCAGGATCATTTTGGGGTGGAAGGCACCAGGTACAGTACAGTACCATACAGTAAATTATAATTTATGAAGGTAGACAGTAAAATCGGTTTTATAAATGGATATAATTATGCTCCCAGTTAATTATATATAGTAGTGCTGCTGTAAGTCTTCATGCTGCAGAAAAGCAATTTAAACTGGTACCAAAATGTAATTTCTAAGTAAGCCAGGGAGAGGGGGTTATCTGCACCAGTGAACTCCTGGATCCACCCAGATAGACAATACCACAAAGTGGTAAGCATACTCTTCTAAAGGTCTTTGTCTGATACCTGGTCTTACACGTAAGCATGCACAACATTCATCAACACTTTAAAAGCCAGAACAGTTTCAGTTCCATTGTTTAACTTGGTACATTTCACAAGTGCAACTCATTAATGCACAATAGTGGAAGAATGAACTGCTTCATTTTTCTCCTGAATGGGACATATAAATTGATGCTGAAATACCTGGACATATGCAAAAAACAAAAAACAATACAGTATAGTACAGTATATGATCTGATCTTTGAACTACAACTAACCTTACAGATATGGTACAGTATTTCATGCTTTCCCTGATTTCACAGGATTTAATTTGTCAAGAAATCTGTTTTTTATTTTTATTCTCAGATTTCAAAAGAATAACTTTCCCATTTTTCACGTCAACCACACACACGCCTCTCTCTCTCTCTCTCTCTCTCTGAGCTGCAGTAGCTTCAGGAATTGACTCCTGTTCCATTTATAATGAAAATGCATACAAATTTATATTTTTTGTTCATATAAATAATTTTAAAATTCAAATGAATACAATTATAATTTATATAACTTATTTATAAAAATTTCTAAATGAAGTTTTAAAAAACAACATACAGTATAAAGTTTAATAAATAGATTGAGTGCCTGTTACAGCTCCTCTGGCCTTTGTCCTTAAGATGTATCACAAGGTTCTGACTCCTGCTGTTGTTGAGACCCTTGCTTTTGTGTCCTGCTGCAGACTTGTTTGTTCCATGGGCTGATCTGTCTGTTCCATAGGTTGTTGTGCTTCTTCCATGGGCTGGTGAGATTGTGAGGAATTAGGGGTGCCAGCTCCATGAAGGGCTCCACGCATCATCAGAGAACCAAGCATTAGGGTTACAGTCCCAGAAACTTCACCATCCTCATCCAATGTCCAAAGGGCATCTCGTAGCTTCAGATAAACTTGAATAAACTTCAGTAAAACTGCAAGGGGAAAAAAAAAAATACACTAGACATCTTTCAGGTGAACTAACCTTGTAATACTCATTGTGTCACTCAAACTCCTGGTTCCATGTGAGTTCCCCTTTTTTAATTCAAAGTTTCTCATCAATGGTGGAGGCAGATCACTTTTACTTAGTCTTTGAAGTAGATGCATTAAGGTAGGAAGGATTCTTATTTTGGTTTGAAATTGCAGTGTCAATAGTCGAGTGTAATACCGTACACACAAGACATCATAATACACTGTCAATGCAACATAAGTTGTTCATATACACAAGCTTAACAGATTTTCTGGCCAATACTGTATTGCAGTTTCTCATTTTTGGAAGGGGCTATATTTCTTGTAGTAATTTACACAGAGCACAGTAGATCTCATTTATCCAAAACTGTAATCCCCCAAACCACCTAATACAGTAGTGTATTAAAAAAAACTATGGACTCTCACCTTTCTTCTATTATCCAATAATATAATTAATTCATCATCCAAAAGTCCAATTGCAACTTATCTAAAGTCAACTTACAGTAGATCTCATTGATAATAATCTATAAATTATATGATTGTTTTGTTGAAGTAAGGATTCTGATTAGAGTTCATATATACGTATCGTCTATCTTACAGTTATGGTATTCACAAATGTATGGTGGGAAAACAAGAGAAAATATGATGATTACCTAAAATATTTGTTATTACTGGATGGCTACCAAATATTTGCATGTTTACTGGTTTTGCTCACAGATGGCAGCTGGTATCAGTACTTGGTGGCAACTTCAAATTTAGAAGAATAATGCAGTACTGGATTTTAATGTATATTTTCTCTTACGGCCACAAAAATAAATCGATCGCACACGCCCTGAATCCTGGATATACGTATACCTTTCTTCACACACCTATGAAATCATGGATCACCAATGTCCATTGCCCCTTCCAAAATACAAAATTACTCCAAAAATATAATTACCCACAGCTGGGAACCACTGACTTCCAGTGTACAACTTAAAAAGCAAAAGGAGTCTTGATTTTTATGAATAAAATTGTCTTCAATTATTATGGTTGGTTAGTGAAAAATAGAAGGTTGCCTAAAAAGTACAGTATTGTATAAAGGTTTTTCATATTTTAAAATACGTAAGATAAAACTTGAAGTCGCGAGTTCAATTAGAACCTTGCAGATGCAGACAGTTGGAGCAAGATAATTTTGTTTTCATATATATACAATTATTTCTTTTAGATTTTGCCCCAAATTGTGCTTAAGTACAAAAATTACCTCCCGGTGTTTCACCAAGAAAAACTGAAAGTGTGTAATTTTAGACGTAAAACGAGACATTATTAAGGAACATGAGCAGTTAAGGGGCAGTTGACCATCAGCCTTAAGAAACAGAATATGATGAACAAGCTTCTCAATGAATCATTCATTACCACAACTTATATAATTCTTTTATGCATTCTTACAATTATTAAATTCTTATTGTTTTAATACAGTATCATTGAGTGGTAATAATGGGTGTACTGTAAGGATGAGCTGGGTAAGATGGGCTTTATCATGGTGGTGGGTGGTCAGTTGATGATCAGCCATAAGATGGAGATTATACAAACACCTTCCCTTTGTACAGAATTAAATTTTCCAGGTAATTTTTATCGGTGTGTTTTTTCATATGAAAACTTTTTGTGTGTGGGTGTGGGGGAGAGGGGCTGGCTGCGAGAATAAGATAAAACTGTTTCAGGACCCCAGATCATGCGAGTTATAATCACAAGTGTTCGACTATGACTGACCGTGACCTGAGTTGTGTGAAATCTACATCATTTTCATTTATTTAATATTATAAAGTACATTTATTAAATTATTTACTAGGTGTGTATCAGTTTTGTATACATACAAATAAATCCACAATGTTATGTGACATTAGGCTGGTTGAAGCACAGCCTATGTACCCTTAGTTATCAACCTTATCTTTAACATGAAATTTTATCATTTGTGCGGCAAGACTCTGGATGGGTCAACGTGCGGTACCATAAATCACACTACGTATAACTGTGGCTACTTCATTCAATATTTCTTTTAATTATAAAAGTATGCCATACATATTTTGCAACAGGGGCCCAATTTAAATTTCCCTTGGATGGACCATGGCCAAGTCAAGACATACAGTACCACATCCACTTGTGTGGCATAGTGACTAGTGAAAGTTAGGGCAATTAGAGCTACAAAGATGAGGAATCTGTTGGTGGTGATGAGGCAGCTTCCACAAGCCATGTGTCCACTCTTGAGGCTCCCACAGGGGATTGTTGTAGTGCTGCTTTGTATATTCCTGTGTTCCCTGAACTTTGATGGTGTAAATCAGGAGTTTATGGTAAGATTAAAATGTTTTAATGGTTTTCTATATTCCCCTCATTCAGTGGGAAAAGACTGCAGGTTCCCATCTCCATACTGTAAACATTTTAATTTTTACTCTTACACGAGTGACTTAAGTGTCTATTGTCAGAGACACTTAGATGTTAGAAGTATGAGCAGAAACCTGTATGTTCTAGAAAATTTAATGAATGGCTTATGTTTTCTGGACAGCCAAGGTAGGGGAAAGGAAGGTAGTGCAGTAATCATGGTACCAGTGAAGCAATCACCCTAGCATTTCTTAATGTAAAGTTGATTACCAGTTGTACCTGCTTACCTTTGCACATGCTGAGAGACACTGGATGAGACAAGCCAAGATGGTCACCTGGAGGAACCTCTGATGCCAGAGTTCTTAACAGAGCCAGAGAATGTCCCTGCCGTCGAGCCACACGGCACATACATGGTGTCCAGGGTATCACAGGCATATACATCCTCACCACCCCATATACTAGTACCTGTTTAGTGAAAGTCAACTGGATGACTCCAAAATATTCTATTCTGGAATAATAGTATATTAGTGAGATGCTTAAGGTTAATTCAATTCTGTTACAGTAATTAATAAATAGGTCTACAAAAATAACATACTGTACATGTATAGGGCCTCAATAATCCATACCCCAACAATATGAAAGACTTGACCATCCATCCAAGTGTTTTAGCAGCTAGCCAGTGAGCATATTTAAGTCAGATGACATCTACCATTACCTAAACCTAGTACCTCAGTGCTTGTTCTATTTCTCTTCAAATATTGTGAGCATATTCATCCATGCAACTACATGTATCCATCATGGCTAGACAGGGGTGATGAAGCAGGCAGACATTAGGGACTTAGTCCAGAAAAAAGTGTCTTCGACTCCGTCTACCGTACCTCATCCACGTCTGGTCTTGATAACAGCCGGTGGTCATTAATGGTCCTACTGTTGCAGGATCCCAACAAGGAACCACTCAAACATTTAGAACAATTTTAAGTTTTATATTAAGGGTCAAACAAGACTTGGTGTTAAGTTGTACAGTACATACGGAAGTCACTAAACTATTTATAAACCTACATAACCTTGACCTACTGGATCTCAAGAGGAATGGACAGACACTGGACTGAGGGAGAGTGTTGTTTCTGTATCTATATATCAGTACAGTACATTACATTATTGTAATATGTACTGTAGCTGCTCCCCAAATCCAGGTAGTAAGTCGAAATGGTCATAAGTCGAAAATGCTTAAATAATACATAGAAAATCCAAAATGGGTGTCTTTTTTTCTTCTCAGCACCACAAAACTCTCACTTTTAAGCTTGCCAGCCATTTTAAAGTGAATTACAAACGAAAATTTTGCCAGTACACAGCACAATCACTGACGTTGGGACTCGAAAATACGTAATTTGACAAAATTTTGGTACGACTGAGGCGGTCGAATGTCCGGGTGGTCGTAAGTCGGGCGAGCTGTATTTGTTTATACATACTGTATTTATCAACATAAATGTATATTCTACATTATTTTCTTAATTACTGTAATTTAATCATTTATCCTCAGGACCTCCGTTAACACAGTATGCTACAGAATCTTTCTGTCTTGACGATTGAGAAATATGATCCTGTGCTGTAATCTATAACACCGTTACTCCCAATCAATTTGGATTATAGTAAAAAAACAAAACATAATTCAAAATCACTCATAATATGAGAGATATTTTTTAATATGCTGTACATAACACATATCACTATGGGATGCAACTGCCAATCGTCCACCTCAGTATAAACACATACTAAAGTAATATCTCCGTTAGCCGGAATCCCTCTTAACCGGAACTCTCCAATAGCTGGAATTTTAATTTTCTTGGAAAATCATTCTCAAAGTAAAAATTTAAACAAAAAATTGGCTTTGGGAACGATTTTCCGAGAGGCACATTTTCTGGAAAATTCTGGGGATGGGGGAGTTTTTTCCCGGGTTTGAGAGATGAAAATCGGGCGCATTTTCCTGAAATTTCAAGAAAAATTTTCCGGTATCCGGAAAATTCCCAGATGGGGATACCTTTGCGGGTTCGAGAGATGATGAAATATGCAATTTCTGGAACTTCTGAGAACATTTTACCGTTACCCGGAAAATTATGTGGATTTTTTCCGGCTTTGAGAGAGTCATCTCATTCCCGGAAGTGCTGTGCACCAATTGTTATGGCTAACGAAGATATCACTTATAAACGTCACACTTGTTGGTCAGCCGTGGAGTGTACATCGACTGCTCCACGCAAGCTTTTTCCCACTTGTTTTTCCATCATTGCCCAATGTTTGAGTCATTATGTCTGATAACCCTGAACTAAACACCTAAATCCAGTATTAATACGTACTTAAAAATGTTTAAATTATGATTGGGGCAGATAACGTAAAAGTTCCACCCCCCCCCGGTTATGTCTCATAATTTGTAAGGGCTAGAGCCCCAACTATTTCAATTATGGGGCTTTTACAGTATACGTACGTATATAAAAACACACAAGTGCACGAACACAAACAAATGTACGATACAGAAAGTTTTCATAAACATAACCATGAGAGACTATGCAAGAACAGTCCATGCAGATCACAGATCTCAATGACAATAATCTTGAAACTGCAGAATAGAGAGAGGAATAAGATGTAAGCATAGCACTGACCCTTGCGTTTGAGTGAGCACATGCCAGCTGGGCGGTGCAGATGCCAGAGGAGGTAGGTGGGGTCAGTCAGGGGACAGCAGCCATAGGGCACTTCAGCCTCAGCCTCCCGAGCAGCATAGTCCAGCTGTGTCAGCACGCACCAGCAGCCGCTCACCCAGGCACGAAGTCTGACATAACAGGCACTTTGCCACTAACACTCAATACCCAGGGTTCTATTTAGTTTTTCTTGAGTTTTACAGTCCAAGACTTAAATTAATTCAAATGAAGATATCTTTAATATCATGCAATCCTCCTCTTAAATATCAACATAAAAAAGCTCTGAAACTTGGTCATAAATATAACGGTGATAATAACTGTTTACTCACTTGGGCCCATCCATTGTTTGGTGAGGTAATGCTCAATACCTTCCAAGGGATGCCAATCTCCCTTCAACCAGATGTATTTGTCTGTAAAGAAAACCATTACACTTTTTAACGAACATCTACAATGCACAGAGCACACAAAATAAGCTTGATGTGCTTCATACAGTACTGCACTGTATTCCATAACTTAAATCATAAGTAAAATGTGAAAACATTAAATGTATGGAAATGTCTAACAGAACTTAAATTAATTCTGGCATTTTATTTCAATTTTCAACAAATAGAAACAGGAATAATTTGACAGAAAATGAGTGACAATCCATATTAAGAATTACTGAAATAAAGGCAAGATTTGGTAGGAAACCCCTATGTCCCAAAACTATTCTGTATATAATGTATTTACACTGGTGAGTGTGTGTGTGTGCCTGTAACCACAAATGGCAAGTCTTTCTGCAATGGATCTACCAAGATGACATGAGAGAGATGACAGAGGGAGAGGGAGGTTATATTTTGCAAGAATCAACCACAACCTGTACCTACCTTCATTACTGTCTGTGTAAACAAGGACGCCTTTCTCTTCTTCATGGGATGCTTCTTCATTTTCAGCACAGAGCTCGGGGAAGAGACACTCACCCGGCACAGCTACAGCTAAATCTTCTGCTGTGATCTCTTCCGGAGTTTGTCTGTACACACGTGAGAAAATCCTAAATAATGAGCCTAACAATCAAACACATTTAACACGAGCACAGACCAAAACAGTAAATAAAGCAGCATAGATTATTTTAACCTCATTTTCAACAGCTTAGATGAGGACGAAGCTGTTAGATTGATTCTTTAGAGCGGAGATACTGTACTGTACATTACTGGAAACATGGTAAATATAAATAGGTAGCATACTTACTGAGGTCCAGCATGACTGTGAGTTTCAAGCCAGATGGCAATATTAGTGATACTCTCATGAACGTCGATGTCTGTTGGCAGGGTTAAAGTGTCGGAACTCATCTTGAAATACCTGTCCAAAATTAACTCTATAAATAAATTTCAAAAATCAACTGGTGATGAAAAAGACATTAATAAATCAAAACTATTAACATGATTAATTGTATTCAGCTTTTATGAGTTACACAAATACATGTTGGTTATGGCACAGGATTCCTATGCTAATACCAGACCATTTTATTGCCTCAAGATAAATTGCAAGTTTCTTCAAGTAACACCTGAAAAGATTGAATGACAACCTCCGTAAAACAGTTTTGAATCATCTTATGAGCAAAAATTGATACTAGGAATCTACCTTTACTCTGTTTCTTCTCCACACTGATTTTGATGCAACGGACACACAATGTAAACAATTCCAATTATTTTTTAACTTGAGAATCCTAAAGAGATCCTAGGCCATACATCAGCTACTTAAGTTATATCAGTAGTAGTGAGAAATGATTTAGAAATAAGCTATAAGTTTGTGATATCAAAATATAATGTATATACTTTAATATGTATAGTATAGTAGTACTGTACATACATTATATCATTTCCTACACTTTAGGCAGATGAATCACAGTTGAATCTGAATCAAAAGCTTGGGTTTGTTTGTATAACTCCACACCATAGTTTCAGAAGCTTAACAATGGCCCATATATGCAAGGAGACAGAACAAACAAATATACAAGATGGTCTGGCCTAGAAATGTATATTACATGTTCAACTTGATACACTATAATTTAAATTCAGAAAAAAGTACAAGGCAATTGAGTATATAATATGTAATGAATACAATATAACAGAATCCAGAAACAGTTCACCTTTAAGTAAAAATTAAAGAAGATGAACTAGAAAGTGAACCAGGAAGGAAGGTTAACATAGTCGATCGCACACCTTATGTCAGTGTCAGAATTAAAGATGATGAACCACAAAAGGCAACCCAGAGCTCTATGCATCAATTCATTCCTTGTTTGGTTTGGTTTTTCAGTTTAAAAGTCAACGTCAAGAGCCGGCTAATGGCACACGGGAGTCAATAATTCCTCTTGGTTAACTCTCCCAACTTGAAATGCTTGTATGGGTGCTGAAGTACCTGTGATAAATTAAGTTGGAAAACACTGATTAATGGACTCGGCCAAATTCATTTTGATCCATGGAGTCTCTCAATCTCTGACTTGGTACAGGGTTCTAACCTTACCACCAGCCCTTTGTAAAAATCCTACAGTACTGTTGTAATTATATTTGAGCTTCCGTAATCTTCTATTTATCAATAAGGAAACATAGGGTACAGAACATACCTATGGCTAAGAATTTACTTACAAAGGCCAGATGTGATGACAACTAACCAAACCTAGAACTTTCAGTTAGGTTTGGCTAGTTTGTTAACATTCATGAACGGTTTGGTCAGACCTGGTCAAGAAACCAATTGGTATATCATAGCTATACTTAACACCTGACTTTTATAATTTATTACAAATGCAGATCAAACTTTCAAGACAAAAATTAATTTATTACACTACAAGAAGTCACTCCTGCAGCACTGGAAATGTTCAACTGATATTAAAATGTGAAATAATCACCAATTTCAAATAATATTGATACTCTTATGACAGTTTCTATAATGGTATTAGAATTATAACTAGACTGTTGGCACATTTATAAAAAATACAACTTGTGAACTACCATACATCCATCCTATCCTTTTTTAGCTTAAAAGTAACTTAAAACTTACAGTAAGATGTTTAAATTGCAAAACATAAGTGACATTCATTTTTTTAATGGCTTTCATTTTTAAACTTTACTATAATTATGAAAAACAAAATAAAAATAGAATACCACGACTTCAATATCATGTAACATAATTTACCCACTAAACTATAAGACATTTAAGTAAAGCAATAATCTTAGTGATATTCTCCAATTTTTACTTTTGTTTTTAAGATTCACTTTCAGTTTTACAATATTATGTACCATTACAACATACAGTATACTATACAGGTATGTCTTACTTCAAAGTCATTTCTGGCCAAAGAAATAGAGAGTTTGTACAGCCAGACACACTATACCTGAAGTGGTTGTTAACAGGGGGAAGAAAACTGCCGGCAATAGCCTTGACTAAGTGCACCCAACTATGACTTCCTGAGTACACCTAATCCCTACAAGATGTCTATACAATTGTTAATGACCACTTGAAGATACAGAGAACTAAAACCAAGTAGATCACATTATAGAGTAAAATCACAACTTTGGTAATAACTAGTGTTGTAAGTCTGATGAAATAATGTTTAAAGAACACTGTGAGTGAGACAAGACACAGGACTAACAGCCTGGGAGTCAGCAGACCTTCAAGATGGACACGCTGGACATGCTCACTGCCTACACGTAAATTCTAGAACAGACTGACCACGATAATACTAAATATTCCTCCTTCCCCTGCCGCCTCACCCTGCCCACCCCACCAAAGTTAAACCTTTTCCCCACCCACACGTTTAGGCAACAGCTGAAAACCGATTGTCAGTAAATCGTCCGTACCTTGGAGTTTGTAGTGGTAGGTATAAATGTGACTACGTCTTGGAGAGGAAGGAGTGTAAGCCACACCAAGAGTTCTGCTCCAGTGCACCCGAGGATCGCCGTCGCTGCTTCATGCTGCCCGATTATGACCCCCCGGTTACGCTTCATGGCTTCGTGTCATCATATAACTTACACCTAGGGACATCCTCATCAGTGTTTCAATTAATATAATAATATAGAGGACACCATTTCATAAGGCTACATCAAAGAAATTAGCAATTCTTTGATTCTAAATTCGAGAACAACAGTCCTTGTTGACAGCTGATAGTTCCAATAACATCTCGATATAAGGAAATAATAAAACACCAAATATGAGCTTTAATAAAATTATATTTTATTTATAATAATATTATAAACATTAATTTGTTTTATAAATCAAATATTATAAAGGATACCTCGATATAGCCCTAACCTATAGTTAAAGTTTTTACTCTTCCTCGGTGAACTTTAGTATTGAGTCAAATGAAACCCTTAACTGTAGACTAATTGATTATAACTAAACTTGGCATTATATATAAATAGAATACTATACAAAATATTTAGATTTAATCACAAAGACAACATTTGTTTATATATTTTCTAATATTAGTGAGTTTGTGGGTAATAGTGTTAGTATGTGTTAGGTGGAGAGTGAAGGGAGTCAGTGTTTACCATGGTGTAGGGTGAGTGGGATACACACACTCTCCTCCCTCAGTAAAGTCATCACTTGAATTTAGTGGGCCAACTTCCAATGAAAATTGTGCGTTTGTATATATATAACGGGACACATTTTTTGAAACCATACACTTTATCACATAAAGCCAAACTGTTGTAATACATCAAAGCAGATGTAGAAAGTTACGACTTTGGTGTTGAATCACTGAATGGGGAAACGTGAATGTTTGTGACTGGAGGAAGTGTTAGGATAACAAGGTGAAACTCTTGACGAAGGGCGTTACTAGAACCTGGAGTGTGTCTGCTGCATACTTTAAATACCTAGAAGTCAAATCACCATAGTGAAACCAAGGTAAGGTTAACTCTAAGCCGGGGATTCCAACATCTAGCAACGGAACACGTAAGTCACTGTAACTTAGGATAACTAAAGTTAATTTTCATTCTCGAATTTGCCCTCAATTGGTAGTCACATCACTGCAGTGGATATACAGAGATGTATTCATCATGTTCACTTGTAATCAGGAGAGGTTCTAAGATTCCGGTAGTGACAGGATAAACCAAATTGAAGTGAGGAGATAACACGGACTGGTTGGTGAGTCGCTGGTAACATGTAACTACCATCAACATTATAGTTACCAGAAATTCCTTTTGAAGAGAATGGTTTTTCGCACCTTTTTGCCAATACTGTATACTTGTTCTTGCCAGTTGTAGATATGCAAAACACAGGTGCTGTTTCATCCTTGGATAATGCTATTACGCGAATAAGAATTGTGTGCTCAAAATAAGGTAACTGTGACAAGAACGAATGATGTGGTAGTCGGGCAGTTACCAAACAGACCAATATTAATTCGTCTTTAGATCTTATCCTTTAATTGGGTCGAGATTATGATTAACAACAGATAGGCTTGCTAGTGAGTAATCAGGGAAGGCCTTGGGGATAAAGATGATGAACGGAATACCCCAACTTTAATTATAGGGCTGTAACCTATTTAAAGATCGGATTTTGTGGGGTGAGGGGGTCTTATTGCCTAAATTTCCGACCTAGCTAGTAATATTTATCTTATTTTATTATCAAGTGGGGGCCATCTTTCGTAGCCAACCCAAACAAATTTATTCAGAATATTATTTGTTTCTTCGTTGCATTGTTCACTTACGTGGGAGGTTCAGTTGACTAGGTCACGCGAGACATTGCAGAGGGAAGCGGTCACTCCCACCGTAGTTTCGTTCAGAACATGATAGTCTACCGAGTCTCATTAATATATTTAATGGACTTTGTGAATAAAATGCTTCACTTATAATCAGCCCCCAGTAGTCAACCACACACCGGGTCATTCCTATTTTCACTTAGCTACGACCATTAAAATTCAGAACAGCACGTTGATGACTTGAGAGAAAAAAAAATGGTAAACTGATACAAAAAAAATTATAAAATGCATTCCTCGCGATCACGTTTCTACGTTTGCTTACATCCGTGTTCCTAGGTCCAGGACTCCGGTAGTTGTCCAGGATGAGTTGCTCCATGAAACTTCACCCCAGACCGAATTTAGACTTTGTATGTATTGATAAACTGTATTGTACTCGTAAAGATTCACACATTCAACAGCTCACTTGGTGGTGGTGTGTTTACGTCACTTAGATTAGCAGCCCCCTTACATTTTCTCTATCGGTATCAGTTTTATACCGTTTTTGTGTTCTATTTATTTTTCTTCGAGAAGTCACCTGGAGAGTTTGCAAGCTGTGGATGAGAAGAACCCCGAATGTACGTCATGTTTGTTTTAGCTAATATTCGGACTTAGGTGCAGTCCTCCCGCTAGTTTAGTATAGTGTACAGTAATTATGTTTCCCCACCTGTCGTAACTCACTCAGGGTTCTTCGCGCTTGCATAATTCCGGAAATATGTAACTGCGCAGATCTGTGCGAGTTATCACACGGGTATAATATTACTATCATTGTCACACGGTATGCGGTCGATGTTTGTGTACAGCGCGTGTTTCTCTTTTTTTTTATGGGCTGCCCGTGTCTGATGGTTATATTTATTTGGTGAAGGATTGGTCACTTTGTGTTTAAAGCATTATGGTGGATGGTAGTTTGTAGTATAAACTGGTTGCATCATATCGGGTACATTAATATGTAATGTAAAGCTATGAATTTTAGACAGCATGTACAGTATAATTATATATACCTGTATTATACTACCGTATATAACCTTCTGTGTTATTGGTGTATATATGTGATTATTTCTTAGAATTTCATTAAAATTAAACCATTTGATAGGGAAATTTAAAATGGTCCTGAAAATAGAAATGAAAAATAAATTTAATGGCAACAATATATTAGTCATGTAGAATTAAAGAGAATGTATAAACCTAAATTGTTGTGTTGTCATTTCTATGGAATTGGATTTGAGACTTCAAGATTACCGGGATGTTCAACGGAAATACACAAATAAATATATAGATAAATAAACATATTCTCTGGGATTATTGTTAACATCGATTTCCTCAGTTAAAATATAATGACTGAGGGTCTCAAAGAATCGGCACACCCAGCTTAGCCCACCCACCTGAAGTTTAAGCACCCGGCTATACCCAGGGCACCTAATCTTCATGAGGGGTCGATGTAGTTCGTGGTTTTGTCAGCAGTTTCTAAGCGGTTAAGTTGACCACAGGTATTGGTATGCATACATCATTTTGTACCACGTGGATCAAATTATCTGGTAACTTTCATGCAGGGAACTGCCAGAATTTCAAAACTACCAATAATTTCAGTTTCAAGTTCCTGCTTCTGTTTTTATAACTATCTTGCGTCAGGCATAATGGGCTTGACTATAGGCGGCGCTTCACCTTGACAAGATCCGTATGTTACTTTACATACTGTAGTCCAGTTATTCTCTACCACGAGTGTTTACTGTGTTCATAGTCAGGTTAGTATGGCTTTGCCTACGGTACTATTTGTAGATTAAGTTCTGCATATATTATTTGAATTTATCCCGAAAATAGTGAAATATATTTAATTGTCCTTAATATTTGGTTGAACAGTTTAATAAGCCTCTTTAATCATTATAATAGCTATGAAAAGTTAATTGCTTCCCGTGAATTGTGTAGGCCTAAGGTTCCGATACTCTTTCACCCCTACATACCTCGCTACTTTCTCTCTCCAAATAATAAAAAGTGAAAAACTTATTTAAGAATTGTAATAACCCTCTTCAGGACAAATGTTTATATTTATTGAGAAAATTTTAGTAATTTCCGAATGGTTACCCTAATGTGACGTGTACAGTACATTGCGAGTCGTATTATGAAGGCTTGGTTGATTTTAGCTGTGTCAGCCATTACATTACCGGTTTGTTACTAAAAATGTAGTAGTTAAATAAATGTGTAATAATTGAAACGGATTGATCGTCTTGAGTTTCCAATAAGGAGTTTGTTCACGTGAAGGCAGTTGTATGAGATACGAGAGTTGTCGGAAAAGTACCACGAACAGGGCAGGGAAGTCATATATTTTGAGGCAACTTGAGTCAACCAAACATTATGACCTGAAATTTTCAAGTTACTTTTGTCTTCATTCACATATTATATATATTGATCGTGGCACTATACTAACATATCCATTTTGTCTAAGAAGTTGTTACTGTGAATCTTTACATGAAAATTGTCTTTGTTTTTTTTGTTTTATACATTTTATTCAGTTTTAGCCAGTCAGAGCGCCACGAAACTAGACTTAGGTTAAGTAGCCTCCGTGAAGAAACAAATAAATAAGGTATTGTATTAATTAATTTTGCTTCACCTGCTTGCTTAACCCTGCTTTCAGGTTAAGTGATGTTCGTGATAAAAAAATATAAAATTTAGGTTACTGTATAACTTGATACAATATAGGTCTGCCTTGAATGTAATACTGTATGGAATTGCAAATTTATGTTGTAGATACTGTCTGTAATCAGTACATGAACCTCATTTATTCTCAACAGTATTGTATATATTGGTATGTGGAGGCTTTATTTCTATACAAGATGTACGTGTTAAATTATTATTATTACATATACAGTATATATTAGTTGCAGGCAGGTACAAGACGACCATTTTCGTGGGAAACTTAACTACTCCCGAAAAATTTTGAGTCGAACATCGGGAGCGGTGAGTTTCATGGCTCATTGTTATTATTATTATTATTATTATTATTATTATTATTATTATTATTATTATTATTATTTCCGATACGGTAGGTTTATAGTTATTAACGTTATTAGTATTATTTATTAATTTTTTGTCGTTTTGTAAGTTATGGACCTTTAGATTTTGCTGAAGATTTGACTAAATTAACCTTTATGATATGGTTAGCCAGAGGTTAGATTTGTAGGTATGGATAGAGCAGGAATAAGATTGAATTTTAATTGAATCCATTTATTGTGAAACAAGAGTGATAGGTTGGGACGAAGTAAAATTCAAATAGGTTCCTGTATCAAAGTTTATTTTGACTAATACTGCAAAATAATGAATGGACCCAGTGTTGCGTTGGGATGATTGAGTTTGTTGTATGGGAAACATAATCCCGCGTTTCACTGTGTTAGTTCTCTCCTGACTTCTCTGATACACCGTTTATTGTAAATTTGTTTCTATACAATTTTGTGATATAATAATAATACCTGTATATATGTTTTTTCCCCTTTTGTAGAGTATTTGTTAAAGGATTGTTCAATTGTTATAGTATTTACAAGAAGGGAAAGTCATTGTTGAGCTAGGATTTTTATGCAGGGGTTCGGGGTATTTTTATGACAGCACGAGACAACCAGAGGTTTTATCGCCCTCCCTCCTCATTGTTTTCCAGAAGGTGTGGATGCGTTTAGAACTTTAGAACAATGCTAGCACACAAAGTGATTTTTTTACTCACTAATATTCACAGGGGTTTGAAATGAGTTTAGAACATCTGTTGAATTTTCCTTCTGGGGACATTAAAATACAGCTAACTACCTTGTATTGTAAGCCACGTCACAAAAACGGTGGCCAAAATACTGTACCACCGAAAGTGCAGTTAGCGAAGTTGCCTCTAGAAGCCCTTGTCGTAACTTAAGGGCGGGATGTCCGAAGTCCTTGGAATACTTTACCTAACTTATTGAACTGAGCCCACCGGGTTAGTCAATCACCAGACGAGTTCGTGGATATGGAATCGCAAGTTCTTGTTTACCCTTTACACATTGATATAATAGAAAATGGTGGAGTACTGTACATACCAAGTTTCGATAAAGTTACTTCTCTGAAAGACTCTGTACTCACTTTCAAGCAACATTGATAAAGTTCTGAGAGAAAGAGAATTGTCCATGTTATTAGATGTTGTCAGTCTAGCGTGGTGAGGTGG